TTTACTACCACTTAGTGTGGTTTACAGCGGTTTGGCAACGATCATGTCGATAATCTTGCCGCTTACTGCATCCCTTCTTCATAAAACATAAACAAAATTGTCTGTTTTTTTGTCAGGGTGAACAAAAAGCATCACATCCAGTGGACTCTCCTGCCCGGGTCAGTACTGTCACCCTCTGCTGGATAAATGGTTGGAAGTACGTGCAGGCAGGTGAGTGCATTGACCAGAAGTGTCAAACCTGGCCCAAAACACTTCAGATACAACTTCTCTGTCCAGCAATGTCACACTTGCATACATTTTTCTGCAAAAATAAAAGAAATTTCTTCTTCTTTTTTAGCCAACCGATGCCTTGTCATCAGCTCCCCACATATAAAACTAAAAAAAAAAACAAATAAAAAAGTCAAGATTTCAGTGCTTTGACCAAATATATTGGTCAATTTTACCTTCAATTTTTTTATAGAAACCTACAAAACTCAACTAAACTAGGTCCTCAAATAAGGTTTGAAAAATGACATTTTTCAGGAGGTTTGGAACAAAATCCCACAGTCAAAGGCGGAAACATAGAAATGAAAGCGATGTCCTCTCTTATCAGACCAGGGGGTACACCAATACACATATTCCAGAAACCCTCAAAGATAATGGCTGAAAATTGCTCATGTCTTTATTTAGTATCAAAATAAAATATTCTGATTTATTAAATCTAACCTGGGCCAATTTTCACCTGCTGGTACCTGGAATATGGATGGATTATGTTTTAATTTATTTAAAAGTAAAAGTAACAATTGTTATGCAAATGAGATTGCTCAATTATTGACAGGTTTATGCATTTTTTAGATTTTTTTAAACAAGACTTTTTCAATTTAAAGCTGAGTTGTACCTAAATGTGGGCATTTAAAGGCTAGCACCCAATGCATTTTTTTCTTTCAAATACAGCTGGCTAGTACATGGTTTCACTACTGATTGCATGAGAGTTTGTGCTGCTGTCAAACTGTGAAGTAACTGAAGAGGTTCCTGTCTGTCACATGGGGGACTGAGTGTGATGAAGGGAAATGGCTGGTTGTTCTCACGTGACAGACCTCTGGCCTGTTACTGCCCATCAGGGTTGGGGCCATTCCGGAATGCATTCATCAATTCCAATCCAAGTCAGGAAATGGAACTGGAGTTGAGATTGGAAAAAAACTATGGGGAACAGAATTGGAATTGAATTCGAATTTCAGGGAGACTTAAATTCCAATTCTAGGTTAATTTCCTGATTTGGATTGGAATTGATTAATGCATTCCGGAATGGCCCCAACCCAGCTGCCCATTCACACTAAAATGGCCACTGATATCTGCTCTCAGCGATGGTAATAACTACAATCTAATTGGGCAAAATCAGGACCAATGAGAGGCAATGAGAGTTACAAAATAGGCCTGTTCTTCACAGTGGTCATGGCTACAGTAGGAGCTGTATGTTCCACAGTTTTGTGTGTATGTTCTGGCCTGTGACGAAAAACCAGAGGTAGACTGAGCAGGGATAAACCACCCACTCTGAACACATCGGCACACACACAGGCACACCTAAAAAAACATACGCACAATCGCTAATACACAAAAGATACACTCAGAAAGACAGGACACTCACTTGTTCACGAAGACCTATGATAGAAGCAATGGGTTTCATCTGTTCTGAGGTCTCTTGCTTTATCTGCTCCAGAGACTTGAGATCTGGAGCAGACCTGCTGCTAATCACTGCTAACACATCAATCAATGAAGTTCAAACCAGACTGGCAACAATCACACCATGTATGGGAAATATGTGCAAGGGTATAGTAACTCATGTGGTATGACCAGACTGTTTTACACACTTACAGTTTTCTGCTTTACCACATAATCTACTTAAAAAGGCATTTACTTACAGAAAACTAATGGTCCAGGGTGCAAAAGAATTAAATAAAACGTTTTTCAAAGCCTCTAACGGATATGATGCACAGCCTCATATAAGACCTAAGAACACAGGCCATTATCCAAACATAAAGCGGACTAATAATCATCACTCAACTCTTCTCTCTGACATCTTGCAGCCTCTTCTCCAGTTGGCTCCTCTTCTGGATCTGCCCAGCCAGTGCCCAGAACTCTTCTTGATCACAGTGGGTCTTCAGCCAACCATTGCGCATCATTTGGTTCTGGAGGTCAATGATCTTCAAGAACAGACATCAGTAAAGAGCTAAAAATCACGATAACAACAACGCAGGGACAGTATCAGTCAATCATATCCCAACTGCAGGGCCAATCTGTAATATGGATTTATCCAGTTTGTTAAATGAATGTGTGAAAACGGGGAACATATTTAGGCAATTAATGCCATCGCAGTCCAACAACATAGGATAAAATATGTGACACCTACCAGATAGTAACTAGTTTTATGAAGAGACTTCAGATGTGTTTCATCATGGGTAAGGGTGCAGTAGGGCAACTTTTGACGTATGATATTTTTCTCTTTCTATGAGAAACAAAAATATCAGGTTAGACTTAGAGCAACATGAAATGAGAATTAAGATAATAAAGAGATTGTAGGACTGCCCTTCAGTAGCTGGGAAAGAGAACACACAGAACAAATGAGAAGTAAACATACAGCCACAGGAAGCCATTAACTGCTGCGGGGACCAATTAGGACCCAGCAGGTGTCCTTGGCTTTGCCTGCTTTGGTCCTGCCCTACCATAGTGACTTTGACTAGGCCTCTCAGACTGGACTGAGGAAACAACAGGCAGTTTCATTTGCTCAGCAATTTGTACCAAAGGATTCCTGCCAGCGGGACCATAAAGTCCTTTATAGTTCAACCTTTGTCTTCCTCTTCAGTGTAGGTCATTAGAGAGAACAATTACAGCCTCCTGAAGAAGTCCAGCCTTTATAAGAACAGAGAGATAAGACAGGATCTCTAGACAAGACCCCCCACTACCCCATCAATACCTGAACCCACTTATTCCTTCACACACTCGTTCATTTTCTCACTCACTCGACTGTTCACTCACTCCCCAGACTCCAGCTCTTCCTGAGCCACATCACTCTACTCCAACTTCACCATGAACCTGAGAACGCAACTCTCAACTCAGCCATCAGAAACCACCACTATCAGTGATACATATCATAAACGTCATTATTATTAATAATGACTTCCATTGTGTGTTATCAGTGTATAATGGTGACTGTTGACAGTCATTCTTTAAGGATTACATTGTGAAATGCTTTGGTTATATCAACGGTGCTACATTGTTTGTTTTGTAATGAGTCCTCTGCATGCCATACTAATAATACAATTAGCATATTTGTAAATTACCCTGGAAATAAAGAATATTTATATGGATTTTAATATTGGTGTGTTTGTTATATTATCATCTATATATCCATTCATCTTTAGTAAAGGGTAACTTAAGCCTAGAACATTTACTCTACACATGCACTCTTTTTGCATAAACTCAATACTTGGTCTCCCGACCAAGCTAATTGTATTATTATACTGCCACAAAGTTACACGTTGACAACCCAAAGATGTGACCTTACTCTTCTTCACAGCAACCTACAGACCATTTAGATCACGCTGACAGCTTTGAAAACTGAATGGCACCAGTTTCTGTTAAGTAGCCTGGATATTGTGATCATGCCAGTAGTGTCTGCTACGCTTCCATTTCCACGTGATGCGACCGTAGTGCACGGCCCAGAAAGTGCCTGGTGACGGACCAGTGACTGACAATGGAATACACACCGTGGATGGGAGGGACACCCTGTCATCTGGCCCTCGCAAGATCATGGCCATAACAGTTCAGGGGAAATGGGGAACTCAAAGGGTTTAGATGTTAATTGCAGTTCTAATGATCTGGTTAATATGCAAGTCGCTTTGGGAAACAAGCTCTTCTCTAGCAGCTGTTAATGCAAAGTCAGGGTGGGGGGGGCTTGGGGATGGGTGATCAAGGTAAAGGGGGGTAATCGGTAGGTGCCGACGGGTAGAGTGGCTTTGATTTGCTGGGTTGTGTATTTGAGGTCAGACGTAGTCGGTGGGGGGGGGAGGGGGGTTGATTGTGGGGGCAGGCAACTCTCATTACCATAGGCTGTATAAGCTGAGCCCTAAAAGTCTGGCTCCTGGACCAGCTTAAAACTGAGACCTTCAAACATTAAACAGGCTCTAACAGTTTGGATCCTAATGTGAGACCCTAATATGATCCACTGGGATGCAGTTTGCTCACTGAACACATGCCCCCTGCACGCTCACACTTATCCTCTCTTCGGTATACAATGGCCCTAAATTCCCGATCATTAATAGGCCTGCAAGGCCAGACAGACCGAGACAACACCCCCCCACCCCAACTCACAAACACTTCCTGCAGCCCTCAGACCCCTCAGACAGACTCCACACTGCGTCAGTCTCTCCTCGCTCCCACTGCGCCCACGATCCCAAAACACATTGAGAAATTAAACATGTCAGATAAGCAGACATGCTTAACCAATGTTCCACTACAGCCTACACAACATACCCAGTCCTATATGTACTCACCGCACTTTTGACACTTTGTAATACCACCTGTCACTTTACCGTTTATTACAAACAATTTATCATAATTTATGATTATTCTTTAATGTTTTGTCCCTTTGTACTATATGTCTCCCGACCAAGCCTTTCACTACACATTGTATTGAGCATAACTATGTGTCAAGTAAAACTTTTATATAATTTACATGCTGACCAATTGCTATACTATTGTAGCTGCTGAATGCAACATTTGCACAGCTCCTGTATGTTAAAATATCCTGAGTACTAAATTGCCAATTTTTCTTAAATTCTTGGTGAGAGTATTTAATAGAAAGTTACCATTTTATTTTCCCACTGGCAATAAATTTCTACAATTGCAGCTATTATCAGACAGCTATGCAAAAAGCACCCTCTTCTGGCGAGCTGTTTGAATGGTCACGTAACTGGCTGGCCTACAGTGAAGTTGAATTTTTAATCGGATTCACGTGAACCTTACAACCGTGTATTACTTGTTTTGGAGAAAGGGGTTCGTGTGTACGGGTGTGTGTGTGGATTTCTTACTTGTATTCTTAGATGCTTCAGAGATTTCGGTGACGTGAAACAACGTTGTTTGATGTCAAGTCTCTGTTTTTGAATCTTCTCCCACAAGAGGTCTGAGTAGCGCCGGTGCAAAACATCCCGCAAACGATGAATGTTTCTGTACGCCTGCAGATGGCGCTAATACATAAAAAACACAAAGAAGACGGATTTTAGATTTTTTATTTTGAGGACTAGTCAGTTTTAGATGGAAATTTTTGTGTCGATCGAAAATGTTAGCGTGATTATATTGTTAAGTTTTGCATTTTATTGACATTTTTAAAGTTATTTATACAAAATGAAGAAAACTCAGGAGATGAACAGTACTCAGTAACATAAAGTAGGGTGGTACGTAACAAATGGCAATGTGTAGAGTAGGAATAATTGTCCTGGAGAACATATAGGTGTTGGGGTTCAGGCCTGGATTTCAGTGTAATATCTTCATGTAGAAAAAAATCTAGCAATATTATAATGGATCAAAGGAATAGACATACATTTAAGATGCAGATTGGGCAGTGAAGGAAATGTTTGGCTGCACAAAGAACTGAGAGACAAATTTAAGACATTTCATGCCACCTGGGTGAAGCTTCAGTCATCAGATTAAGGTATCTAATCAAATAGACTGTCCATGTCTGACCAAGTCAAATCCAGCCTGTCTTCCAACAATAACAAATTTATTTTTGTATAGCGCATTATCACAACATTACATCGTCTCAAAGCGCTTTACAGCATCCCCACCCAAAGCCCCCAGTGAGTAAGCCATAGGCGACAGTGGCAAGGAAAAACTCCCTAGAAGGAAGAAACCTTGGGAGGGACCAGACTCAAAGGGGGAGCCCATCCTCCAGGGGCTGGCAGGTTGAGTCAAATACAGTAAAATACAGTATCACACACTCTGACAGTCCTAGGACTACATTTACAACAAAGTATCAGCAAACAGCTTCTACTCTATTATCAATTTTATCAAAGGAAGTGTGGGAAATGTTTTATAAAAACAGGCAGATGATTGTTTAAGGGAAGGCGATTTTCAGTAGGCAAAGTAGCTAAATCGAACCACTTGAGTTTTTGGTTTTCGTTCCCTCTCTTGGGAAAGCCAAACAAAAGCCCCAGTGCGGCACTGCTCGGTCCACTGGGAGCACTGTTTAAACTGGTTAAAATGTAGACGGCAGAATCAGGAGATAAAATGTTCAGGCGCACTCCACTGGGATACCTGCTCCATAGCAGCCTTCTGTCGCCTGCTGGCCTTGCCCTCGAGGCCGTGTTCAGGGCTTTCCGTCAGCCTCTCCTCATCCTCACCGTGCAAGCACTTCCTCACCTTCAGCTGCTGTTTTTTTACACCATTCTATAGAGAAAGATCAAACAGAGAGAAACACTGTAAACGGTTCGCACTTTGCACGTCAGCAAAAGCCCTGAGGCAATACATGAATGCGAGAAGCCAACGCAACATTGCCCTCCCGAGAATTTCTCATTTCATGCTGTCATCTCCTTACTTTGTCCAGCCATAATTGTATAAGTGCATTATCTGGCACCTCTGACCACATCGCCGCTGACTGTTGTCCCCAGGACAATGACACACCTTTATGTAACGCCAAACACTGCCAGCACAGAAAGTCCAATTTTGTTACGCAAGTGGGAAATAAGTGTGGGCAATAGCAAAATAAAATAGCTTTTTTTTTTTTTCTTGTGGGCACATGACTGTCTGTTGTGGTATGGGTGCAGCTGGAACACAGTGTTTAAACCATAGTTTACAATTTTGAACACCATGAATGTTGTAGTATACTATACTTCCAGAGTGTCACCAATGTGTATGGTAACTGTCCATAAACTAGCTGCATCAATTATGAGATACGTCTAAAAAAAAATCTATGTTTATTTAAGTGGGAGATGTGGAGGCAGGTATTTAAAAATAGAACACCTTTACCTCAGACATGTCATTAGTTTCATATGTTGGAGTTGGTTTGATTGAAGTGTTCAACCAAATCCAATGCATACTGATAAACAGATAATAAACTGAACACAAGTGTAAATATGTGTAAACAGGACCATCCCTTTGCCTGTTGGAAACCACAGGCCTGGTCCCTGTCACAACAAGGAGTCAAATCAAAAAACCAGAGTTGAAAACAGACCACACCAAAACTGGGCCTTCAATCCACAACGCCAGATCTGGTCCCTGAGACCTTTGGACAACACACTGCAGGAAACAGGCAACCAACAGCATTACTAAGAGTTGCTAAATGGATGGGCGGCTTCAGGACGAGGTGCACAGGAAGGTGCAGAGGGCTGGAAAGCTATTAACAGGAATCCGGACCCAGGAAATGGGGACAAACCATAAACTTAAGCTGCACAATTCAGGCAAGTCATGATCATGAGCCCAGGTGCAAAATGATAAACAGAAGCAAGGAACCTGAGAAGATATCAGCCACCCAGAAACACTATGCTGGTGATAATGCAGGCGACCCTGACCGAAACCCAGGCGCAAAACACCAACAAGCTGAACCAAAGAAATCTTTAAGTCCTATACTCACAGAAAAATGATGACTGAGCAGTGTGCAATGCCAGCCAGGCCAGGACGAATGACCTCATTTCAAATGCAGGAGAGGTGTGGCCTGTCCTTTCAGGTGGGCGGAGTTTCTCCTCACATTCAGGACTGAAACATCCCCAAACTGAATCTCACGCTTTACACTAATCATCAGCCCTAAAATGTTACAGTCATTGCTAAAAGAGATTCTTAAAGGGCCGTTCGCCTTAATCCTTATCTGACCACTCTTTAAGGTTTAATTCCGTATGTAATTAGACTTTATTTAAATACTTATGTGTATTGAGAGCTGCATGAGCTTCCATATTTATCTGATTTTGAAGACACCCATGTAAAATAATCTTAATTCTGCCTGAATTCCACAGAAAATAAATGAATGCTTAATTAAAAAAAATATTGCAACAGTTTAATGGTTTTAACTGGAATTGATTGTTATTAATTATGTCTATGTTCAGCTGATTTTTCAGAATATCATTCCTTTGTTTTGTGCCCCATGCTTCCTGGAATAAGCTCCCCATTCTCCACCGACTCTGCAATGGAAAATCACGATGGATGGATGATTGGATGGATGGATGGACAGAGCATGCAAAAGTTTACCTGTTAATTTAATAAGAAATTTTTCCTGGCTTTCAAAGATTTCTAATATTGATGTGCCTGATGTCATGAGAAATTGCTCTTTGCACTTCATGTTGTGCCCTGCATTCCTGCCACCTTCAGCTGTTCTATAGTACTTTTTAAGTACGAATTTGGAAATTTTCAACGTCCAAGTTATCGGGGGTGCACCGGTACATTGTGATGTGCGATACTACTAATAATGAATAATATACAGAATTTGTCCTTTTTTACTTCAGATAATCCTTCAGATAATCTCTGCATTTCGACCAATCAGCTCGGTTTGGTCACGCTCTCAGCCCTGTCAGCTAGGGTATGGCTGGGGTACAGCTTGGTTCTCGATGGCACTGGGAAAGCATCAACAGGTGACAGGACACCCCCCCCCCCCCCCCCCCCCCCCTTCCCCCCCCCCCCCCCCCCCAAACCCCACACCCATCACTGACTCACTTCAGGCATATGTAGAAAAGAAAACTTTGGCAGGCTGGACCCTGGACCAGGTGTTCAAACCCATATGGCCTCATCAGCACAGAGAGGGTTCTGACCACTTTGTAGGTTAACTGTCAGGGTCAGTTCCTGTCAGCTCCTGTTGTCCCAGTCTATGTCCTTTCCCCTGTTGTCCTAGTCTGTAGTGTTCTTAAAGGGCCGTTAAAGGGCCAGAATTAAGAATCACATGGCTTAATGAGCTGAGCATGCAGCTATCTCTTAATCCCTCTGTTGTGTGTTCAAATCCCACCTCCTCTGTTTTTGTATTTTGTTCCCTAGTGTTTCCATTTGTATGAGTTTTCTAGTTCCTGTGTCTTGTATTTGGTTTTGTTCTGTTTAGCCCATGCTTGCGTTTCTACCTGCCTGTTATCTCCCCAGTGTTAGGTTCTGTTTTCCCTATTTCTTGGTTAGTTCTTTTTTGTGATTAATTGTCATTGTTGTCACACCACAGCACACAACAACGAAATGTGTCCTCTGCATTTAACCATATGTGACAATGTGACATAGCAGGGGGCAGCTAATTCAGCACCCGGGGAGCAGTGCTTGGGGACGGTACCTTGCTCAGGGTACCTCAGTGGTGCCTTGCTGGTCGGGGATTCATACCTGCAATCTTTCAATTACAAGTAAACATCCCTAACCATTAAGCTACCACCACTTAGTTCCTTGAGTTAATTAGTTCCACCTGTTGCCTGTTCTTGTTCCTGCCCTTGTGTGTTTTCCTGATTGGTCATTGTCCTGCACCCTCCTCGATTGGATAAGTGTCTGTCTCACTCCTGCTGTCTTACTCCCCATTCAGTTTTAATATTTAAGTCCCTGCCTGAGTTCTGTTCCTTAGTGGTTCGTTGATTGTGATTGATTGGTTGTTGTAGTTTTGGCTGTTAGGTGTATGCTGTTTGGTTGGTCTGTTTTTTTTTGTAACCTACCTGTCTACCTCCCCTTTGTTGCCCTGACTCCTTTCGGAGATTAGCCTTTGTTTTACTTTGACCCCTCGTGGTCCTTTTGGTTTTTGTAGCGTTTCCCAGTGTTTTCTGTTATTGTTAATAAACACCATTTTGTCCTTTGAGCCGCAAGTGGGTCGTCCACCATTTCTGCCTGCATCATGCCCTGCCCGCGTATCAAATCTGCCCGAGTTTATGACAGTTACTCTTTTGTAGTTGACAGCATCTTTCACATTCACGGGGCTGTCCCAGTACTCATTACTAGGCCCCAAATACCGGTGGGCCCCTTTCTGGCCCACATACCCCACGGCCCGCTGGGATATCCAACGGAACAAATCACACCTCCAGAGGCGCATTCCTCACAAACCTGCTTTTGCAAACTCATTCATGCTGTGGCCTTGTTTATCAGTTGAGTCTCTATAATGCTGGATGCCGATTCGTCGTTATAATTCTAATTTAAAAACAAAGCTAGACTTTGTTTGTTGCACGGACAATCTGCCCATTTCACCTGTGGCAGCATATGCTGCCTAATGTTTTTTTCAATCAGGTGTCAATAAGTGAACATTTAAAACTGAAAACTAATCATGAAGGTTCTTTTTGCTAAAAAGATTAATGTTCAGGTCAAAGCAGCATAAAAATTCAAAGGTGCATCAGACCAAGGGGAGCATGCGGAGGTGAGCGTGAGTAGGAAGAGAGCAGCTTTACTTATAAGATTATTTTTTTGTTCTAAACTGCGCATATCATGAGATGGCATGAGATATTATTGCTTTACTAACAAGTTGCTCAATATAGGTATTACAGGTGGTGACATTCAGGCTTATGATTGGTTTGCATTTGGCTCTAAATTTAGGAAAATTAACTAAATAGTGTAATTTGAATCAGTTGTGTCATACACAGAGGCTCAGTTGGCACTGTTGCCCCACACTGCCAGAGTTGAGGGTTCGAATCCTGCCCCCACCCTGTCTGGAGAGTTTGTATGCTCTGCCTATGTCATGGGGATTTCCACCCACAGTTTAAATGCATGCATTTAGGTGAATGGCTGTGGTGTGGGAGTAAATGTGCCCTACAATGGACTGGCATGCCTGTCACATGTCTGACTGTCAGGCACCTTTTACAGCCTGGGTCCTTTAATGGAGCAGTGCCTTTGTCTTCCTGTGCAATGGGCATCGGGGTGAGGAATTTTTAAGACCTGTTGCCCCGGCGATAGTGGAAGAGTGAATCTTGAGCATCTTGTCCTAGAGTTGTCTGGGCTCTCGTTAACAGCTATTAAATGTGAATAACACCGGTTTACAAAGCATCGCACTGCTTTACACATCAATGCTAATGGCAGCCCTTGCATCTGATGGCTACTGAAAGGTAGATATGGGGTTGGACGATTTTGCTGGATGGAAAAATCTCTTTCTTTCCTGGGGGTAACTGACCACCCCGCGGTTGCTTGGGCCCTCATGGTTCGGAAAAAAGTGCAGAGATGGAAGCGAGGAGACAGAAGGAAGAGTGGAGGGAGGGGGAGTGGAAATGGGGGAACGATGGAAGGATGTGATGGAGGGGGCCTGAAAAGAAAGCTGGGAAGAGATAATTCAGCAGAAAGAACAGAGAGAGGAAAAGAGAAAGGAGGACAGAGGAGAGACAGCAGAGCCAAAAAAAAGAAAAGAACAAGAGGTCACACAGGAGACAGTGCTGCCAGTTGTAACCACGACAACTGCCTCAGGAGCTTTTTAAAGCCATTCTTTCTCTTTTTTTTTGATAGACAGAACTGACACACAAGGGTTTGATTTTATAAACCCCTGCGATGATGTAAGCCGATTAGAGTGGGAGCTCTGGGACCGATGCGTGAAAGGGCCCACTGTATGCAGGCCGTGGGTCGGCACAGCTGCGGCGGGCCCACACCAGCGAGGAGAGCCGGCCCGGCAAACAAAGTGGCCAGTGAAGCCTACGAAAAGCACACCGTGTACCACAACCATCCATCGGCGGAGTGCGACAGGCGCCACGGAGGGACGGCCACCCAGGACTGGATGTTCTGACCCAAGACGGGTACACAGCCTTGGGGGGTGTTGTTCTGTCCAGCTTCATATCCAGACAAAAGCCCCTTTACAAGCATCTGAGATGAATAGGAGGGGCTGTGCCTCTTTAAGAATTGCACTATACCTTACATTCACAGGAGCATTTCGCGGCTGGTGCAGTGAAACACTGGCGGACTGGGAAAACCGATCTTTACTAACTTTTGAGCCACAATTCATTGGCCTTAATCATCACATTATCTGGCGCACTAAATCATAAACAGAATACTTATTTAGTAGTTAATTTAACTTTTAAACTGCTGAACTTCGACAAAATATGAATGGAAAGGTTTTTAAATATAATTTCAGTTTACCTCTACAATACTTCTGGGAGACACGTATGCGTCCAGAATGGAGGGAAGTGCGCTCTGCCGATGTTTCTCAGCACTTCCACTTGACATCATGGCGCCTCTACTGTCACCTTAATTTAGTTCTGTAATAAAATAGAAACATTATTAAATCGCTTTTTTGCGTTTTTTTAAAGAAGAAGATAATATTTGGGCTTACATTGTTACCTGTTTAATGAAGAATAGAAGAATAAACAATATCATAGGCCTATATACAGATGTGATTCCTAAGGGGATGTAATAGGTTAAATGCTAACGATAATTGCACGTCACTGAACAACGTGTAATCATAACCCGAAACAAACCGTTTCATCAGAAACAAATTAACTTACCAAAACTGACCTGTCAAAGCTAAAAACTCAGCCAACCGAGAATTCAATGTCCGGCGACACAGACGCGCAGCACGGCAGCGGTAGTCAAAACACATACAGCCCCCAATCGCCCAGAATGCACCATTTTCATTCAAATTAAGTTTCTGTAACCAGGTTACCAAATACACTTAGTTTTAAAAACTCTTTTAAACTCTTAATAATGGAAGGTCAATTAAACACACGTATTAATAAAATATACATAGTTCCTTTTTTTTTTGCATTGTCTTTGACGCCGTGTTTACTCAAAACATTGTCCCCAATGTGCAAAACACCAGACTCAGCTGGAAAACTGCCCCACAAGCATGTTTACATGTAAACTGACAAACTAATTTCCTGCCCAGATAACCCAGAGATCTTCCAAACAAGCACTACGTCCCGATAGGATTTACCGATTGCGTGCATTAATCATTGTTAACAAAGCAACAAATTAAATTAAACTCACAAAAATTCCTATCGTTCAGTCTGTCGTTCAGCTCACTAACCCGAGTAAGAGATTAACTAAATTATTTTTAATGGGGAAGGGGTCATTTTTTGGAAGCCACTGGGTAAATTCCATGAATGGTTCTCCTTATAGCTGTAGCGCAAAGTTAGGGGACTTTAACAGGTGTTATGCCGAAAAAGATCCCTGCCGTAGAATGCATGCCGGTGTTCTGACGAGTTGAGCTTTTAGGGGTTTTTGGGGGTTAGGGTTTTACAGGTTTTTTGGGGATTAGGGTTAGGGTAAGGGTTAGGGCTATCGATTAGCACTACGGTAGCCTAACTCGACAAAGTAGCTCAACTCGTTTCAGATCAGCGACCAATCAGTCATTTAGAGACACGCATGCAATCTACGGCAGGGATGCCTTTTTCGGCATAACACCTGACTGAAAGACTTCGATGTTGTATTATTATTATAACGAGTTGTACAAGTAAAAATCCAAAATTACCTGCTTGGAATCGATACAGTATATCTAAACTGTCATAAACTGGCAATCAGTTTCACTGAGGCTCTGCTGAGTATTTTTATCATAGTTCATTGGAAATGAGAGATATGCACTGAACAAATAAGCAACGATCTTGGATGATAAATCCAAAGAGAAACATCAGTCTGAGATCTGCATGCACCATAAACCGTACCCTCAAATCATTCACGAGTACGTTGAAGTATAATGCAGACAAAATTCTTATATAGCGGTTAAAACACAACATAAAACGCGGATCCCTTTGGTTTGAATGTGTCGCGCTGACCATCGTGTTTACGGAGCCGTTACCATGGCAAGGACGGCTCGAAATCCCATTGGCTCTCCTCCTCAAGCTCTCCGGATTAGCCTTGCCCCCCACGTAGTGAAATTGGTCCAAAGGACTCTCTGTCCGTACGATGGGAGGATCACCTCCTTAAATGGGACGAATGGAGTGGGAGGGACGGACAGGCTGGGACACAACGTGCTTCCACAGGTTTTCAATTGAAGATTTTATCAAAAATATACTGACCAGTCTGGTAGTGATTATTATAACATATACACACGTCTCTTTTCTATTTAGCAAAACAAAATTGCCCATGATCAAATGTAGAAAACATCACCATAAAATATTTCTCTAAACTGATAAATATTATTGATAATACAATTCTTTAACATAGTGAATTCTTTATTCATGCCTTGACAACTTCCACAGAATGGCTTATAAGACTAGATATATTTTACAAGATCAGTATGTTTTATTTTCCTATTTTATTTCTAAGTATAAAATCAACCCTAACATCTCAGTTAATTTCACGGGTTCATTTGAAACTCTCATAACGAAGATTTATGAGGTAAACGACGCCAACAGCCCTTAGAAAACCTTGCCAGCACAGACTTAAGAGGCTTATCTAATAAGAACATTCACGCCTAAAGCTAGCTTCTTCCACAAAATGGCTTAAAGGGACCAAAGAAAAACATATCCGAATTTATTTAAAACAGATATTCGTGAGTTTTGTCAATGTTCTAGATAAACGGAAGTTATTTTTCAGTCTGTTAGGAAGAGCAAATAGGTTCTATAGACTATTGTAACTGAATACAAAGAGGATGTGTCATCCATTGTTGACACCTTAAAGCACCGTTACGGTAAAACCAAGAATCAGTGAAACGCATTTACAAACATTTCTAACATCGTAATGATCAGGAGTCCATAAATATATTTTACACGTTTATTGCATATAAACAGTTTAAAAAATCAACGAAAACACGTGTGCAAACAAATAACATTTTCTAAATTGCATAATAAATACTGTACAAGGCTTGTTTCACGATAAATACACGTTTCGTTTTGTAACACCTTTTTATTTGTGTATCTAAAACAACATACAATTCGGTGATTAACAGTCATTTTTTTCGTCTGACCAAAGCCGCTCAAATGCGGTCTGTGTCTCTCTGATCTTTTGTTCAGCGGATACAAAGGGATGGTCCCTTTACGGGAAGTAATGGAACCAGTGGAATCCTCCTGTTGATGTCGACATTTCCCAGAGAGACAATCCTGTATTAAAATATCCATATCATGAAAATAAACACAGGTCTTACAATGAGAGGGTGGCTCTCACTAAACAAAAATGCTATGTGCAAATAACAAGCGCTCATTAGTAGCCAGGGTGATGAAAATTACCTGCTTTGTTCTGAATGACAACCACAGGTAGCAATCTCAGTTCACAATTGCTTTACAGAAAACATTCCGCTGGTTTCGTGACAAAGTGGTCGCAAAATAAACCTGACTGTCTATTTGCTCGTGAGCAGTGTCTGAACAAACCAGTGATCTTTTCTTTTTCCCAGTTCGGGCGTTATGAGGTGCAAATCTACAGTCGTTTACTTATTAGCAGCTTTTCAGGTGCGGTAAAGTCGCTAGTTTGTCCACTTTCCCAAAGGCAGCAGCACTTTCAACTCCCTTGAGCCACTCCTTGCATTTTCTGACCACCGTCTCATCCACGTCGCCGTCCTCTTCTTCATACTCCACGTCGTCATATTTGTACTGGTCGTTTAATAATGAGATTTTTACAATCGTGCGGATGTCTTCTGGGTTCTCCAGTTTGGCAACAGGCACGTTGGACTTGGAGACTCCTTGCGCGCGTTTGGAGGCGAACGCTCGCCGATGTCTGTACTCGGCGGAGCCGCAGCACTTTTGCTGCTTGGCCATCATCTGTTTCTCTAAGTTGCGCTTCTGGATCACCAGAATCGCCTCGGGAGTGAGGCTCAAGGTAAAGTGTATTTCCTCCTCGGTCTCCTCCTTGGCCAGGGAGCTCCGTGAGGAATGCTTGCTGCTCTTCTGAGTTGCCGACTCTCCCGAGCTGGACCGAGGCACGCTGTCGTAGGAGCTGGTCAGAGGAGGAGGCAATGCCAACCACGAGTGTTTCCCCTCTGGCCCCAGGTCCACAGCCGGTCTTTGAATAGGAAGTTTGCTCTTCTGTTGCTGTGGCATTCGCCCCAACTGCCTAAGGTTAGCCGTTGGCCAAGAGGTAGACAACTTATCCCTTTCAGAGTCTTTCTCTTCCTTATTCTTTCCACCACTGAGCACAGACTGTGGAGGTACAATGTTGGTTTTCTTTTTCCTGAACAGTTCCTTCCCTGGGGAAGAGATCCGCGGATGCAGGGTAATCGGTGGAAAAGGCATTTTTAATGTCAGTTAAAGTCTAAGACAAATTTCACCCGAATTTCCGGAAGAAAAGCAAAATATGTAAAATATCGCTGGGGATATTTCCAATAACATCATCCGCCGGCGCTCTGGCAGTCGTGAACACACTTGTTCACACGCCACTTGCCTTGTGCCCCGTCCGAAGTGGTTCCCAGTCACTCTTCTCTTTATGTCGCTCAGTGGAAGGCGTGGCCAGCGTGAGCTGCGCCGGAGCCGTGGAGCTGGAGCCGGAGCGGGAGCTGGAGCTGGAGCCGGAGTCGGAGCTGGAGCCCGCTGTGAGAGACAACAAAGACGCGCCACCCAAACAGCGCTCTCCGCCCGCTTCATTAATAAACGGCTCACACGCGTGCATCACATCCTTTTTCAGTGCTACACTATAAAACCACATTAATATGTTAGAAAGCTCGGGAAGACAAATTACTATATTCCGTCATAACAGTATAGCGTTAGATCAATACAAATAATTTATAAAATATTAAATTCTAATATAAATTGGATGCAAACGTTATTCTCGAATATATCGTGAAGTATATTAGCAGGATTAATTTAACCCTTTTATTTGAGGTTCTCGTAATTATGAATGAAATTAACATTCCACGTTCAAAAGGTTAAACGCTCAAAACACATGTGCTCCAGTATTGAGGATTCTCCTCATGGTAGGTTACTGGTTCATTTTAGAGACACCATGTTATACAGGCCTAACCTATACGGTATCTATTTAGCTACATTTTAGAATAAAATTAAATTTCAAGCAGAGCAAAAAGGAATTATAAATGTAATTGTTTGTTGCTATTATAAAGGCGCTATATATCAGGGCTACTTGAAAATATGGCAGTTTAATTTTGAATATTGCAAAAGTAATCTCATTGCTAAAACAAGAAAATGGAAATTGCTTCCTCTTCAAATAGTCCGCAGATGTGACACACAGCACATCCCGTCATAAATTAAAACGAAATTTTCCATAAATTGGAGAATATTACCACAGTTTACGTACCTTCGAACCATAAAGGCTAAATGTGCGCATTTAAGCGTTTATATTGACAATGCGTCGACATGGATGGTTAGTTGCGTTCTGGTTCATATAAAGTGTTTAGTTAATCGGAGTTAGGGAATCATGGTGGAGTTTACACTTCTCCATCAGGACTGCAGGTGTTCCGTTTCGGGGTTATGACATGTCTAACCGGCACGTTGGGGTAGTGAAGAGAGGCCAATCACCCATGTCTAGATTAGTTTGTATTAAAATAATGTACGCCGTTATACTGGAGTTCTGTTGGCAAGTACACTTTTTTTTAAGAGTTTTGTACGATTCAGTACTATTCCATAAATAAAATGTCTGCATGAAAATGAAATTACATCATCTTATATGCAGGATTACACAGTCTATTTTAAGATCAAGAAGCAAAAACAATGTTTAATATATAATGCTATAATACACATTGCAATCTTTACAGACAAAACATGTACTGACAGGTGGAAAATATACATATATGCTTATTTATTAGTACATTTTTGTATGCATTGCTGGTGCAGTTATTTTTAGGCACAATTTTGTTTCTCGATGAAAAAAAAAGTCATTGTACAAAAACAGAAGCCCCAAAACAAGAAACAATGAACAGTGCAGCTTAATGAATTTAAAATACACAGCTGTGGTTTACTAGGCTAAAAAGCTTATGGGACAAACATACACAGTTTCCAGTGTTATATACACTTATGTGGAATACCATAAAAAGAGTAATATTTAGACATTTAAACATATTACTGTCTACGAAGCAACTCTTCATTTTTAATAGTGAATGATTATGTAAACTATATAAACTCGAACACACCTATTCCATTCTATTGTGGGTTTAGTGCTATGGAAAATAAATGCATTTACTGCCAATACCTGCAAACTACAGCAAACCCTTCAAAGGTGGCGGCGGTGGTTTCAAACTGGAAGTGTGAATTAAAACCAGCAGATCCAACTGGTCACACAGTGACATGTTACAGCCATTTGCTATCATTTGCTGACTGGAAGTGTTTGTGTCCGGCGGCCAGTAAATACCAGGTTTATTAACATCATGGATGAAATGTGTTCTCATAAGCACTGCGATGGATTATATTACATCGCCCGGGCAACCGAATCTTTAGCATATTAGGAACTGCCAGCCATCGCTTGAACACCCTTAGATGAAGCTTGCCATTGTCTGTGTGAAGCATTTCGTGTTATGAGGGCCTATCAAGTTCACATGAAGAGTGGCCGGAGTCCAGCTCATTAGGGCGTCTGGAAGAGAATCAAATCATGTGCACATTGGCTCTAGATATGCTGAAAAGGCAGCTTTCTCTGAGCAGGTGCTGGCATTCCTCGTTTCAGCTGAACAAACACACAGGCAGATAACAGCAGGGACCCTGCATAAAGATGTGAGGCTGTCCTTTGGTCACCTGAGGCTATGCTGTCAGGCACTGTGGCGTGGCTAATAGTACAACGTGTAACATATTGTCACCATTATGAAAAAACACAACATTGAGCCCTGAGCATACAAAGTAATGAGGCGGGCATATCAACACGATCCTTACAAATGCACGTAACGCCAAAGGATACCAGGACTGAAGATGGAAAAATACTTTTCATTTATTGTTTGGGGCAGAGCTTTCACAGAAAAGCCGAAAATCATTTGAGAAAATTAACTCCAAGCTGCCGGTACACAGTAATATTAAAATGTTCATTTAAGGAGAGACACAGCACTCAGCAAAAAGGGGCTTTTTCTCCTGCACTGCAGACACAACATGAATTAATTCTGTTTTAAGTTTTTCAAAAAGGCCTCTTCACTTATGGGCAATCAAAATAAAGCTGCTATTATAGTTTAGTACAGAATATAAAGATTTTTAAATATTTTTCTCCAAACACCATTCATCAAAAACATTCACACTGTAAAAAAAAAAATAAAAATCATTCAGCCGGTGAATAAAATAAACAGGAAATGGACTTAACAACTGTTACTGTCATTAAGTGCTCTTTGGGGGTAAAAGAACAGCATTTAAGACAGTTAGGAGAATCATTAATGTACATTTTACACTGCAATATGTGCACTAGTCTTCACGTGAACTGGGATGCAGGAACCAAATTAACTCAGGCAAGTTGTGAAGCACTTCAGCACAGCGTCCCTAGAAAAGCAACAACATTTTTCAGTTACACAATTGTGTTTGATAAACAGACATTACAATAACAAAACAGGGCAATGATGTCAAGCAACAACAGCAATTACAGTAAGAAGGCAAAAAAACAAACAGCCAAAGGAAACCTTGTTTGGCACGCCCAATATGTTTGAGCACAAGAAATGCATTCCTGCAGAAATAAAATTATGGGTAGGACCACTCAGCAGTATACACTGTTCTTTGTGGTGTATGATCTCCTTTGTTGTTGCTGTATGGGAGGTGCTCATGAATATTTAACCCTGTTTTGCCGGTAAAGTGACACAAATTCAGCATGAAAAGACCACCCCACCATCCCCACCCCTAGGTATGTAATGTTGGGATGATGCAATATTAGCCATCACCACGGCAACAGGAGAACAAGGTCACGCTGCTGCTTTCCCCGCTGCACTCCGCGTGTGTTGCTATGCAGAAACCACATCCCTCGCTTGAAACTGACTGGAGGAGGGCTGGAGGAGGAGGAGCAATGGAAGGAGGAGTGAAGCCAATCAAGGTTAAAGAGAGATGGGCTGGGAGGGGGCGGGGAGTCACCATTCGTGGTTGCCACCCCCCAACGTAGACACAGATTCACGCCCATTCTCAGAATTCTCCCATGCACTTTATTGGTAAATATGAGAGTGAAATCAGATGATCTTTCATTTCGAAAGAGAAGACATGGGAGAAGATCAACACTAAATTCACAAGGCTTCCCCTTTTCTGACGAAACCTGAAAGCAATGGGTCCCCCACAGCCATGTGCGTGGGGGGGGGGGGAACGCTGACACAGCAGGTTTCTAAACTCAGGGTGGTTATATGTACTGCAAACAAGGCAAAACACAGAAGGCAGACATAACACTCTTGTGCAGAAATAGTAGGAAATGCAAATAAGCTACTCAAATCAGAACAATCCAATCAAAGGAAATTCAGCCACAGATAAGGAGATAAACACAGAATCACTACCTTGTCATACTAATGTAACCAAAGTAAATGCCTTTAAACTGTGATTAATGTAAGCTATTCTGACAGGAACAAAGAGGAGTAGCACCAATCAGATAAGCCTTTATCCCAGGAGCATGTTATCAAAGCTGCTGGACTCCCAGTCTGATAAACTGGTTTCTATAGGGTCTTTGTTCCATATTTTTCCATCCCCTGCTCTGGCCTGACCTTTCCTCTCCTCAAAAGGCTATGGGACAGGAGATTTCGCAAACGCTACGCTTGATTATGGGAGCATCTGCCAGCTAGCAGATTTGCAGTGAGCAAGATTCCTCCGCTTTGGGGTGGGGAGGGGGGGGACGACGGCACGTGGCATACAGACAGGACACCAGATGGGGTCCTGATCACAAAGGAGCCCCGACACCCCATGTCACCTCAGGTCCTGACATCAATGTCAACGCCAGGCAGCATGTGGGTCTCGACCCTCGCTGGCAGGCATAGGCATGAGTCCTGCTTCATCACTGTCCCTCCGACAGCCGTTTCATTAGTGCACCTTCCTGGCTAACGGAAGCCTATAGCCTGATTTTCACAGATTAGTAGTGCTGTTTATATACAACATAAAAATGAATATCATATGGCGTTTCCAAGCAGCTTCTCATTAACGGTTCAGTGCCTTTATGCATGCAGAAAGTATAAGTATAATTTATTAAATTAATGTGATTTTCAGTTTCTAACACACCCTCACTAATTACAATGGCAGACAACCTTGATGGCCACCCTGACCACAGCATAATGAATGACAACATCTAAAAATAAACCTCGGGGTGGGGGGGGGGACCACACAGAACCACACAAGCACCATCTGTATGGGGAGGCTTTCCAGTGTATTCTGTGTGTTGTGCAAACAGTCTGGAAGACAAGCTGGGGGGCGGGGGGGGGGTCAGAAATGTGTGATGCTTGGAGCCCAGGGTGGATGTGGCCGGAATTTAACGCCATATGGCGGGAGAAACACCCATTGGTGTGCGGATGTAAATAAAAACATGTTTTCATTCAGGGAACCGCTCGGCGAAACCCCCCACCACGACCACCCGCCACCTCCGAACACCACAAACAATCCCCATGCCCCCCCCCATCTCAGTGTGACACATCTGACCAATGCCATATGGCCATTTGTGGATGGGGGGGGGAAACAACACAAAAACAAAACAGTTGGCTGTGGTTATGTCCAGTTACCGCTCTGGGAATTTTAATTACTCCCTGGAGGTACACCTGGGCCACAAAGGACCGAAAGTAGGAAGCTTGGGGAATATAACGCTCAAACGGTGAAGAAAACACAGAAATGGCCTTTTTAGTGCTTATTTTTGAAAGAGGCAAAAACTGACTGAACCATGGGAATAAACCTTTAGCTGTGCAAATGGATAAAACGGAACACTTCGGCCTACTACAGAGAAAAGCATCATTTAAGCAAACACGTAACTGATCCACGTGAACGTACAGAGGAAAGACGCTTACCTGGCGAAGGGAATGTAGGAAATGCTGTACCTGAAATAAGCAGAAACACAGAGCGTCACACACGGGTCTCGGGGGGCAGAGTGATCGAGACGGCAGCAGGAAATAACTTCCTGGCAGGAAAAGTCCACTGGCACCCTAACCCTGGTTCAGAGGCTGGCAGCCACTGAGCAGGACGGTGGGTCGAGGATGGCCTTGGTTAGGATGATAGTCTAACCTGACATTACTGCTCAACCAATCACATTTAACACATTACTGCTCAACCAATCACATTTAACACATTACTGCTCAACCAATCACATTTAACACAACACCTCTCTACATAAAAGTATACTGGCCATATATTTAAACTTTTCCCATGCAAAATGCACTTCACACAACTTCCTGATTGTAACTAGCCATTGTGGTCAGTATTCCTGCCTTAGTACTCACTGCTGGAAAAAAAAGTATTAAAAAAATTCTAAATAAAACAAAAATACTTGTAAAATGACCAACTAACTGGCAAAATAACATTTTAAATATTGGTCACCACAGCTAACACAGCCATTCATTTCATGCTGATAAGGACTGCAGTCCCCCACCTAAATTAAAAGACAATACAAAATACTGAAGCAAATTCATATGCCCAAATTTTTACTTCTTGTTGTCCAGGTATAACAGATAACCTTCAAAAATGAAAAGTGAAACACTGTAAATTCTACTTCTTTCAAAAATAGCATTTGAGTGTGCGCAAGACGGGAGCGTCAGTGCACGTGGGTGTATGGTGACCGAGTACGGCTCTCAGGCATGCAGCGGGTTTCTACGACAACGCACGTCAGCGGCGGCATGGCCAGCGGTCTGACTCATGCAGGCAGAATACGGCTGTAAAATCACAGCGATTATGTTGGTGATGGGGCCAGGCCTGCTGACGCATTCGGAATGGGGCGAACGTAGGATGCCGCCTCCGTAGATGCACAGAAACGCCACATACGTGCCACAGTGCAGAAAAAAACAGAACGTGCTCATGCTGACACTCAAACAAGCTACAAAGCAACCAAACAAACTTAAAACTACACTGCTACATATAAATATCTGTGTACAGATTTCACTGCTGCTGCCATCTTCACTGAAAAGGTGATAATTCCATAAAACTGATCATCTATCCATATTGTGAGGCATGTTTGTTGGAGCCTGAATGACCAACAAGGCATGGGGGGGGGGGGTAGCTGACCCATGTGGCTTATAAGGAACAAAGACAAAAGTGGAGGTTCCAACAAGCTGTTTCTCATGTTAACACTAGGTTAATGTGCAGAAATATTTTTATATTGTTATAGTTAAGTCCAGTAAACTTGTAACAAGCTCCCTTTGAAATGCATTACTTTGTGAGAACCGTCCATTCACTTCTACGGTAAAAACCAAAATCTGAAAATGACAACCTTAACCCCTACCCAGCCCTAACCATAACCAAGCAAAATACAAGTGTTATGGCATTTTCAGTCATCAATTTTTTTTTTTTTAACATAACTGAGGTTATCCTTATGGGAACCAGAAATATGGCCCCCACAATGTCAAAATGAGGGACAATGTAATGAATACCTGGACCACACACACACACACAAGTATTTTATGCCCTGAATCAGCATCACTGACCCACACCCAGATTTAAGTGATGCAGAAGTTTTTGGTGTCTGGATGCCAACACTTTTGTATCATTTGACACTAACCACAGAGGTCATGACGTATTATAGCCAATGGAATTAGTAACTCCTCCTCGCCCCCCCCTCCCAGCTCCCAAGACAGCTTCAGTTTAGCTGAAAAACAGGTAAAACATGTTTCTCCTTTGCAGCACCATGCTAACAGAAGCCTACTCACCTCTTGGCAAACAGACTGGCTTTATTTTCAGACAGAGGGAGGATGCCCCATGAATTACTGTGAAGGAACACTTACTGAAACCAGCCCCCATTTAATTCATGTGCAATTAATACTGGAAGCAAAACACAAACTATAATAAAAGACTTAACAACCATGTGTTATCCTTGTTTTTTTTATATAGCTCCAAACAACCTAATGGTAAGCATAAATAGACCCTTGTGAGGATGTGAATTTACGATGTTCGTATGTAGATCAGGCTTCATTGAAAATACTTTCAGCCGCGATTCCTTTGAGAAATAGGGCAGTGTGGCAGCCTCGCTGATGCCTCACATGGCGAGCTTAGGGACGGGGCCTGAATTCCAGCCTCTCTCTATATGGAGTTTGCGTACTCTATCTCATGGGTTTCCAAAGTCATGCAACCAGGCTAACTGGTTTCTCTGAAACTGTGTTCTGCAAATGTGTGGAGTGGCTTCCATTCCAGGGGGTTCCCCTGCCTGGGATTCCCCTGTCTGGGATTCCCATACCTCCACTGTAGCCCTGTACCGGAGAGTCAGTTGGATGTTGGGTTCCTTTGAGTGAAGACTACATGTTACAAAATGTACTGAACTATTTTATACAGCCAAGACACTGGAGGTTGACATAGAAACAAATGTTGTATGGAGTCGCCAACAGGACACCCCCACACGCCACGTAATTCTCCTTCTGACAAGCAAGTCCCACAGCCACCGAATCGTGCTCTGCTGCACAATGAGGGAGGGACACGTCATTCGTTTCTCTCTCAAGACAAAGGGGGATAAAAAATAAACGCTGGAATATTTACATTACAAACATGCAGAGGGACCGAAGAGGACCATTAGGAAAGTGGATATCCCATAAAGTTTTGGTGCCAGGCAAAAACAATCTCAAAATGTGACATTTTCATCAAAGTTCCTGTATCTGTGCAAGCATTCAAGACAAAATTTAAATTTATTACTAGTATTTCATTTATTAACATCAGTTAAGATTTCAGGCATGACTGTTGTAAAAACCTATTCATATTCTTTCCCTGTTCCACCACAAATGATTAAGCTCCAGAGCTGCATGGGAACTAGCAAAAAGGGTTGCAAGGAGTTGAATCAGGTGTGTTAAATGAGGGGAAACCCAAAAGTGTGCAGGGATCTGGCCCTGCAGGGCTGCAGTTTGACACCCCTGCTCTAGGTAATTTCAGGAATTTTAAAATGGATAGAAAGATCCATCTCAATGGCCCAAAATACACGAGTAGCCAGTGTTGTGACAGGTAGAGAATTTAATCTGTTTGGTCAATTGAAGCAGCAACGTGCATGTGCATGTTTGGCAGGTTAAGTGTGCGCCATCAGCCCAGGAACCTGGGAAGGTATTCATCATGTACCTAAGCAAAGCTATGCTAAAGCAGCTCACTGTGAGGCAGTTACGGCTTTAGGGTGACTGACTGTGGTGATGTGCTGATAGGACTCAGGAAAACGGCACCGAACTTCATATCGCAACGCAAACACACCGTTGGGCAATATTTTACTTCTCGGACCAATAGAGATAAGAAAGAAATTACCATGTCATGGCCAGAAACTGTAGTATGCAAAAGATGATGGCGAGGCCCTTCCTATCCCACTGTGAAGAATGACAGGGAACACTGGTTAATTTTTAAGTTATTTTGCTGCACTTTAAAATGTTCATGGCATGAGGATGATAAAAAACTTACCCAAAGGGCTGCACACAGGGTCAAAGCTAAGCAGAGCTAGGAGAGGACAGAAACATGCAGTACTCTGTAATTTGTCGTATATTTACAGGAGCAAGCTGAACAACAGTAACAGTCAATCAACAGATTCACATCCAGACAGCTTAACAACATAGTAATTGATTTTTTTGAACATTTGCCAAAACCAAGTATCTAAGGCTAATGCCTCGTGATGCTAAACTATTAAATGCTAAATTATTTAACACTCCCTGTCAAAGTAATGGAGCATTAAACTAGTGTGTTGTAACCACAAGCCAGTCTAAACAGTGGATTTAAAGTGATGGAATTGCATCAAGTGTAAATTAGAAGGGTCTCAGCAGTGTAAACACAGAGCCCACATAGGACCTAGGACAGACCCATGCGGGACGCCGCCTCAATGACAAGGTCAGACCAAGTCATAAAAGTCTGCCGTGTCGTGCTGTGACAAATAAGGCAGGGTACTTGACCTTAGTAGGTGGGACCTGTTAACAGGCAGGAATGTTTAGCACCTCAAGAAGATACAGGGGATCCATTCCGACATGATCACAACGGTTAGCATTAGCATCAACAAGCAGGCCCCCGAATGTCATAGTCAGAGCTACAGGCATAAGTATCTGTACAGCACAGCAAGTGGACAGCAGCCAAAGCATTTATCAGTGAGACACAGATACCCAGTACTCATATGGACAAGTAGGTAAAACATCTCAATTCCATAATCAACAACAATCGCTTTTAGAAAAGTCTCCATTTCCTTTCATGGAGACTGGGTAAGATAAGATTAAATTTAACTCTTAAATTGCCTCCACCGTATTGCAGTGGTAATATTGCCCAATAAAGCAAACCTTTGTCCTTCATTGAAATGTAAATTAAAAGAGGCTGTTCCTTCAGGTGAAGGATTGGAGCCTCTATGTTAAATACTTGGAATAGCCATACATGCCCGAACCGTTTTCGGTCTTCCACAAAATCGAAAAGCTCCATCCACTCAGGCTGCATGATATCACATTGTGATTATTTGAAATATTTGCGCTTAATATTGCTCTATTTATAAAATGAGAAAGGAGATCAAATTTCCCCCGAAATAAACTATACCCAGACAGAACTTATCTACCAATAGAGTGTGCCAAACAAGCTGGTGTTGCCAACACAAGTTGTGTCAACATACACAAATCAGTGCCAACAAATGCAATGTGATTACAGGCCTTAAGATAACGGGCGCAAAAATTCACCCAGATGCCAACTTTTTGGTATTATACAGATATTTACTTAAACCCACAACTTGAAAAGCCCATTAGTAGTATGCTTAATATATTAATGAGAGGAATATTGACACCCAAAGGCTAGTAATCTGTATAAATCTGGCGTATCCTGAACATGTCGGACTTTAAACTGCAAAACGTGCTGCCAAACCACCTCCATCTTCTTAACTTGTTTACCCACAATATCTCCTCTTTCAAAAGATGATGTTGCTGCTGATCTGTCCCTTTCTCCACTGGCACTTCAGTGCTTATCGCTTCCACGATTTACCAAGACAGTAGCATGTGGCGTGCAGTGCAGATATTGTGATTATATCGCAATGTGATATCATGCAGCCCTAACAGCCACTGAACTGAGTGTCTGCCTGGGAAGGGAAACTCCAGGCCTTGTTTATGGAGGCTGTGCAGAATTTCCTTCTCACTAAAATCTTAATCAACTTGTGTAAACTGTTGGCTGAATTAATTACCAGGTTCTAATTAGAGAACTCAAGATGTTAGTTACATATAAAATCAAACCTGTAACTAAGGAATATATGTAATGGTATCAGGATTAGGAAAGATCTTCACAAAAATGTCTGTTTATATATTTCCCTGCAATTTTATGTTTGCTGTTCAAAAAAATAATCAAGAATCATGATTCTTAATCAGAAAGGTCTAAGTCATAAGTAGGGATGAAACGGGAACCGGTTTCGTGATAAAACACGGATATTTTCCCAGCAGTTGGTAGTACCGTTTCAAATTGTAATTATTAATTTCCACGCCGTGAAAATCTCACGATATTGTTCAACATCAACCAAAGTTAGCAGCGTGGGTTTGTTCTACGTCAGTGAAAACGTGGCGACAGGCAGTGACAGCACTTTGGGGATTTTTTATGCTAATGTGTATTTGAGAAATTGATATGGTTTTCATATGTTTATGTAAGGGATTGGCCATGTTATTATTTTATTGTTTATGTAAACAAAAACCATATAATTTTGCAAATTTAATTTGTGGTTTTCAATATGAAACTTGATTAAATGATTTCAGTAGCTTTTGACCATTTAACACATTTTAACAATACCATGGTAATACTGATAAGCATGATCATTTTGGTCAATATAATGATAATATTATATGTTCATACCGTTTCACATCTAGTCTAGTAATACCATCTAGGCACCTTTGTTCTCCCCTAAGTTGTACCATGTCTTGCAGTACGATCCAGCCTCACTCTGGCCCACCCAGGCAGCAGAGAGCTCCCAGACACACAGCGCAAGGTAAACGAGGTAAAAGCATTTACCAGCATAACTATGGTGGCAATCAACCTGGTGGGTTCAAACATGCGCTTCAGCTGTTTCAGGGGTCCCATCAGGAAACACGTGCTGCAGAAAAGGAAGCAGAGAGAGAGCAGGGTCATCAGCTCCAAACCGCACGAATGCATCAGCAAAACCTCATCAGGTATTACAACCAGAAGCCTTGGTAGCAGAATCATGTTCAGTATCACCGACTAATCCAGATCTCAGGGAGAGAGCATACTGCCGGAATTTAATAGGTGTGTTTAACACAGACTCTGACAGTCACATCTGGAAGCACATAAAAATGTCAGGATAATTACACAAGATGCCGTCTGCTGCCTTATGACGCAGGTGGCTTTGGCAGAACCAAAGTGACAGGAGCAGACTCCAGAAAGACATGGCGAGAGAATCGCACGGCGGCTCTCCTCTGATCCAGCCTAAACATGCACATGTAAATCTGTAGGCACCAGTGCCACTGTTCCCAGTCATACACAAAGAACAAATTATATATATGAAGTCACTGATTATTTACCTCAGAAATAATGAGCTGAATACAGTACAGCAGGAAGAAATATAAAACACTATAAAAGCACACAAAACACGTTTATGAAGATAACATCAGTGATGATTAATTCTTGACAGAAGTAACTGGGCTTAAAAAAAGGAATACTTCACAAACCTCAAAAATGCTCTCATGAATACCAACAGTAAGATGAAATGAGAGCAGTGTCCCTTTAAGACAGACACCCTCTCATTAGTAAGCAGGTGTGAAGGCTGCGATGCTTACTCATTCAGCTGCGTGTCAATTCCAAATGCCCGTTATGGCTGCCAAAGCCAGTGCAACTCTGCTAGATGCTGCTGAAGTATGCTCACCCTTTTAATGGAGACTGCCTTCCTATTTGCATGTCCGTACTAGGCTCAGATCATTTTCACATAATCCGTATCAATGCCAAAAATTTGGTGTTAATTTACCTAGTAAATCAGCAAGATTTAGTCTAAACGTACGAGTGTATTTATGCAGTCACTATAAAATTAAACATTTATCAGTGGAATAGACTGGGACAGGCTCAATGAGACCCTGCACTGATCAGCCAGTGGAGACATTTCAGAATGCACATATTCAAAATCACATTTATTAGTATAGTAATCACCCACTAACCATTCTCCCTCAGATGTACAATAAAGAGAATACAACACTTCAACACAGGTTGCGTATAACCAATTATATATAGATACAAAATGAGGAAAATCAGTCATAAACTTACTGACCAACAGGTAAAATTCAAAGCCCAAATCACGGCCTATTGAATAAGCAAAGAAAATGCACCTCATACTCACACTATGTAATATGTACATTTTGACTTGCTTTAAAGTAAAAGTAAAAATTGACTAAATAATCCACCAGGAGACCCCAAAACTGACAACAAGACACTTTGTTCCAGGAATTTCCTTCAGAGCTCTGTTCACACAGGCCTGTGATTAGGAGAACCTAAGCTCTACCTCAACACCACCACCTGTCTTGTTCTACCTTCACAGAAACGGCACGGGGCAACCTGCTAGCCAGGTGGGCAATGGGAGGTCACGCTCCTCTCCCCCGACAGGCCTGCTGACCTGGAATCAGCACGGAGACTCCAGCTAAACATTCTTTCCACATTCCGCTACGCCTGACCAGACAGGAAATGAGGTGGGAAGAAAAACGACCATCCAGAGCAGTTATGAACATGCACCTTGGGGATTACTCTGTCACCTCAATATGACAGTGACAGTTCAGTGACAACGCCAGTGGCATGTTGCAAAAAAGTTATTAGAACGCTGTGCGTCATCTTACTGAAAAAGAACAGCAGGAATGAGCAACTGGGGCCCTGGTAGATGCCCAGCTGCGTGGGCTGTGAATTGGACCTCAGCATGAAACAGCGTTTGTTTACATATTGGTCTGATTAGAGTTTCTGTGGTACAAACAAGGGTGTTAGTATGTGATGTAAAAAATAAGCTGCAGAAATTACTGCGGGAAGTTCAGTGACCTTCATCCATTCACTCACAGCCTTGGAAGTCAAGGAAATACCTGTTGTAGGTGGTGGAACACTAATGAGCTCCTAAAATCATTAACAGGTAGGACACATTTGTTCACAATATGGCCAATTTATGATTAACAAATCGAAATAAACTCCAAAACAGTACAGACTGTCAATAGAGAATTAATGATGTTGTAAAGAAATATCCCAAGATGACAGGGTCAACCTAACATTCCACTGGAAAATGCAAAGACCAACCTGTTCTTAAGTTCTGAACTAAAAATAATCATACATGTTTAGGAACAAATAGACATGCTGCCTTTGGAGCAAGAACCCTGCCTTTGATGGATGAAGGCTGCAATGAAAACCAAACTAGGAAAGAAAACTTGCACAGTGTTTAGCTGGTGCCATTGACTGTTTAGGGTCTCAAGGCCTTGCTGATGCACAGAGCCTTGGTGAGCCTGCAAGCCATCTGTAAATGATGGTAGTCGGCATGGAGAGACAGAAAGAGCCAGAGCAAACTGTGCACCTACAGGTCAGTGGTTCAACAAACACCTGGATCTACTATTTTCTGTAAAAGTCCCACAGAAATGGCTACAATTCAGTGAATTTCCAGCTCAACCCAAGCAAATGTGACAAAGACAAGGAAGAGCTTAACAGGACCAAAACTTCTAGAATTTTGTGTGCATGCCAGACTGACTGAAGCTAATCAGAAACAAATCCCAATAAGCAACTGTAGCGTGACATCGACGACAAGATCAAAGTTCCAAAAAGGTTTCCCTGAAGAGTTATAAACACTTACATATTACCGGTTTAAATGTTAACTGGACGAGAGACTGAGTGATGCTTTTCTGATACAGACCAGTTACCATCCATGCAAGACCACCCATCAGGAAGTAGTTAACATGTCACAGTCTCATCTCCACTTATCGGTTTCATTAGAAACAAGTTTTACCATTAAACACTAATCCCGGCTGGGGAACTGAACTGCTTCACCTGTGTTTCTCCTTCAGATTTTTTTACAGTGGAAACTGCAAGATAGCATATTAATGTTTTCTTACCTTCCCAATGCTGCAAAGTTCCCTAATGTGTAGAAGACAGCAAAGAGCTTAACGTTCACGAAAAGAAGTGCTGTTCCCTGTTCGAAACAGAAGAGGACATAGCGAGACATTATCAAGCCTGTTAACCACCTCAGGGCATATAGAATAAGTAAACTAAACCATTTGTTGCTCTAACCGGCACAGCTGTTATTGTTTTATACTACTGAGTAACTGAATACATGAGTACATGAATTTAAAATTACAGATTTATAAGTCAGTGCTATAGAACAAACAAGTATCGCCATCTAGTGGACATATAAAGAAAATCAGAAATACACACGTGATTAAGGGCATTTCCTCTTTACAAGGTGTGAAAAACTTGCTTTATCAAAAAAAGAAAAGAGGACAGAACTGCTGCCAATAAATAAAAACCCTGCGCACCCACAAAACTGGGGTATGTCTGTTAAAAAAACTATTCTTTGTGTTGACACTGAAAAGTGTACCGCGTCAAACCACAAAGACTCAACAGGTGCATGACCATGCTGTGTATTTTTTAATGTAGAAATTCAGTAGCACTTTACTTGTGGAGCACAAGTAACTTAACTCAATTACTACTCCAGTACACATCATGAACAAATTTAGTAAGTGCATGAAATACATGAACCGTTATGACTGATTAGTGATGAACAAACATGGGATCAGTACGTAACTAAAACTTAGTTTCTGGTTAATACATTAAGTGATTGTGTATCACTACATTATTTATGCCCCCTCAAGTAAAATGCTACAAGAAATTCTGAAGGGAAAATCTTCTTCCTTGTCAGTCTGACCAGAGTGTGACCAATGAGAGGTGCTGGATATTGTGAAAGTGTGATTAACAACTCAACGCTGTAAAGAAACAACCATTCTAGAAAACAGCCTTTGGGGACAGTCCCTTAACAGTGTGAGTGAAGGAGGAAAGCCAGCTTACGAGGATTGAACACAGGATCCCGCAGGCAAAACAGATGACGAACCACTTCACCCGTGTGCTGTAGCTGAGCGTAGAGGCATCCAGGACCTTGAGGTATAACATGAGCAGGAAGTCACAAGGTACGCAACTTCCTGATGCCCACGACACGAGTATGAGTGTTTCTCTTGCCTTAGGCACGTGCATATCAGCATAGTACGAGGTGAATCTGAATGCTGTGGCCTGGATGAAATCTTCTTCATGAATCCAAAAGTAGCATCAACTTCCATCATTACCTGTCATGCCCTGAAGTTATACCTTATTATTTAATTACATACCAATGTTTTTGTATGGTGTATTACATACATGTGCTTCCATAATTTTAGCTGTGGCCTTATTTTTGTGTGTGGGATATTTCTGATAAAGCATTTTAAATGTATGAAAACTGGTGTTAGGAATGTCTGGGGAAAAAAAAACGTTTCTTGGGTCCCAAGTTACACGAAAAGGACTTTAGTCATAAGTAAAGAGGCAAATGAATAAAGAGGTTTATAAAATATCACACCAAAATGCAATTTTACCAGCTTTATAAATAAATGACAGTCTATCTCGTTCCATGCAAAATACTATATCTATAAACTCTGTTTCATCCTACATAATCCCTGCCATCAAATACCTTACCTTCTTTGATCGATCACTTCCTATGAAGGCATGAAAAAAATCAGCAATGAGAAGTTAACACACAGAGGAAATAGCCGTCCCCAGCCTTGGTGGTACCACCCACCTTAATTGTGGACCTTTTTTTAAAAAAAAAGAAGGATAAAGATTGCTTTGTGGAAATAGTTCTTTTCCTGCCAATGCAGGAAATGTGTGCAGAGTGAAAATAAACTCTATGACAACCCCTACTATCTTAAATTTCTTTAACTACAGGAACGGTTGATTTGTTTTTGAGCATTTATAAAACACTGGCACATCTGGGAAACAGTTTAAGCTTACAGGATGGATTGAGTCTGGAAGATAAGGTTCACTGAAGGTCACATGCACGGCAGTGACGCCTGCAAAGTCTGGTAGGCTGGTTATTCATACCAAACCCGCATACTTGTGAATGCTTCAACGCTTAAGTCTAAGCAAAATGACATGGACTGCTGAAATAACTAATCCACCATCGATTTGCAAAAACTTTCTTAAGCAAATACCAACACTGTAGCCAATTATCTTTATGCAGTAACATGCAGGATAATTACAACGATTTATAATAATGCAGCCACAAAAAAAAACAACATAAAACGCAGCATCATAGTAGTTTTTAAAAATTATATCGAAAAAAAACACATGAAGAAACAGAATATTACGAGGCCACGGTACATACAGGCATTGCACACCCGTATTTTGCAAATTAATAGCAGATCTTTACCTGAGCAGTTAGGCCTAATTCTTCGTTCTCTTCTTGGCCACTTAACACACGACGAAGTTTATCCATGGTTCTTTTTTTCGTATAAAAGTTAAAACTGCTAGTACTCCTTCACAACTTTTTCAAGCGAAAGAACTGACGGTAGCTTCCTGTTTAGGTGTGTCAATCTCAAGTACAGTCAGTTTCGCGAGCTCCGCGGGGTCCGCTCAGGTGACGTCATCACGTAGTGCCAGCTGTTGAGATTGGGAATTGTAGTCCTTCGGTTGTTACGCTTGCAAAGGTACAGCATCCCTTTCAGTAAAATTTAAAATGAAAGGAAGTCATTTTATACGGCAGGATTGGTTAAAATAATATGGGGCCTAGAACTAATATACAGCTATAAGACACAATGTAAAAATCACCGTTTATTCTTTGACAACACTTAAAACACGAAGGAATCGAAAATCAAAAGCTTTACTAATGAACACGGTGTTCTGGTTGTAGAAGTAGTGTGACCGGTAGGTGACGCTCGATTTTCATTTTTTAATGTTCTTGTTAATCAGCCTCTTACAGGTTTAGTAAATATTTTTCTTTCCCAGTCCTGGTGATGGAAAGAGCAGATAATATTCAATATCCAGATAAGATATTAAAATCGTACAATTTTAGCTCGTGAGCTCCACCTACACCATTACAAAAAGTAATTTAAAAAACTGTAATAGGGAAAATCTATCTTTAGAAAAAATAATTTATACAACATATTGGTCAAGCAGTGAAAATATCAGATAAACTACAGTGTTTTGGAGTTGTCTTTAGTGTAATGCTGGCTTATGACATCACCATAAAGTATAACCACGAGTATGTTTTTAAACGTGTTGACCTATGAAATACTTCTTTAGTTCAATAACAATTTCAAAACATTTTCTTTGGAAAGGAATATTTTCCTAAGTGGTTATATGACAGTGTGATTATCCCCTGGATAACAGAAATTCTGGAATCCTTCAGCAGGGCTGTTGTGAGCCAAGGTCAGGCAGCCTTGCTGAGCTTATCAAGGGCATGACCTGGCGCCAGAAGAGATTGGGCACTCTCTTGGAAACTGCTAAGACTCAGGTCATGATGTTCCCGTTGGAGGTCAAGGGCCGTCTACCAGCCTCTCTCTCCATGTCTGCCTAGACTTAAAATCTAATCACAAATTGCTCATGGTCAGCAAATGTTGTATAGCCTACTTGTGTCTGTACTGTAAAGCTTATACATATAATGAGGAAAAATGTAATAAGGCACAGTAATGTACAGGATATATATGTAGCCTACACATTTAACAGTTACCATTTTTATTTCAAATTATATATGTTCTATAAACATGGTTGTAGTGCACAAAGTGGTGGAAGTTTAAAGTTAGCATTGTATTCGAATGGATGTGTTTAGAATACGACGAAGACTACGACACATAGGAATTATTTATTATTGATCATTATTAGTTAATCGTAATGGAAGAATTAATGCACACTTAGAAAGATTGGGCGAGGTTATTATACCGTGAGCATTCGTGAGCAGCAGGTACGATTTAAAAGACAGTAAAGTGGGCCCGTACGCGTACCATAGCCGAACTCTGTTATGTCGTGACGTATGAATAATTATTTTTTATACCTGCTGTTCCTAGCGAGCATCTGCCTTCTACAGTAGAGAACGTCGATAGCTGTCACTGTATTGTCTAGGATGGTTTCACCAACGCATAAAAGTTTACATAAAAATAGACCAAATCTGAGGACGTGCATTTATTAATTGTGGCATATTAATAATGACAGAGAGGTAGAGATGAAAACTCTAATTCGTTTTCGACATTGAACCGCCTCCCCCAACGCTGTCTTCTGACAATTAATATCTGAGTAGAGTAAACGGCGATTTTGCGCGGAAGAGTCGCAGAACACAGCGATGCGGATATTGCTTTTTCTTCTCATTTTCTCTGCATTTTTGAAATATGATTTTTGCTACTCCGCTTCAAACTTCGCGTGTCCGGGGATCTGTCATTGCTCCACTGAAGCGATCAAATGCAACAATATCATAGAACGGTCCCTTCCAGCCCAAAAAGATGCGCAAGTGAGACTGTAAGTGACAATCTTTCTTACTCTTGGCCACGGGCATCGGACCGCACAGTAGGATTCACGTTTAGAATTATGTTTGTTAATACATTTTGAAACCATCTCGATTAAATGTTTCTCCAAAACTAGAACTAAGTTTCAGACAAGCAGTTACACACGTGGCGATGTATGTACGATCTTAATGAGATCCGATAGTGTCCAGTAGTGTTCTGCTTACACGAGTACACTTGCTCTTAACCAGTATTCCTAAATTATCGCATATATTATAATTATTTCTGCTATTTCAGCACAGAGAGTCAAGAAAAGGAATAGTTGCACATTAGTTATATTTATCTTAACAAAAATTTTCGACTATGTACAATCCCAAAATTTCCGATGAAATGATGAAGTAACTGACAATTAGATTAAATTTGATAAGTATGAAATCTTGTATCTTTTAATTGTTTAATAAGAAGAAATATATGACAATATACTGGTTTAAGAATATTGACATTTTAAGAGTTTTCCTGATTCAGGTCAGGCAGCAAAGTGGTGAAATCACTTCAGTACAGTCCGTTTATGTATTTTACCTAACATGAAGTACCATAATCGTCCGCTTTCAATCCAGAGAAAGATGTAGTGTATTAAATTTTGTATTGCTAAGCAGACAGTTCGTTTTCTGGTGACGTGACTCATTCTTGCCAGTATGAAAGCCAGAGGACTAATCTAATTAAATTACGTCACTGCACTTTATCATTATACCTACAAGACGTCAATTATACAATTATCAGAGTTATAGTTGAGACACATAACAAAATTGTTATGCCTTCGCCAAGTACAGGGTAACACTGGCAGCATTAATTCAATACCCTGGGTATTTATGTGCAGTAGAATCCAAATAAACAGTCAATTTTTAAGCAATAGTTTAAGCAAAAGTTTTGCTGTGCTCTGTGCATGTTTTAAAGGTATATTGCAATAGGATTTAAGAGAGGCTTATTAAAATTATGCAGCAGAGAATTATGTTTAGATCAGAATCAGAGGATTTAGCATAAGACATTAAAAGTTTGATCTTCAGTCTTCAAAAGAATAATGGTGACTTCTGGCAGAGTATGGATGCTCCTTTGGAAATGGGAAATGACTGGAGAAGCAGTCAGCCAATCCGCAGCAGGACCAGCAGAGTGTGTAGTGACAGATTTACACAGTTGAGCGTAGTGTAGCATGACAACAAAGGGTAATAAGAAAGAAGCAGATTGTGTCCATTTGCTTTCTCTAATACAGACAGATCCAGCCTGTAACTCAGATTTTGCACTGACTGCTAAGTGGTGGTCATCAAATACTCTTTACTTATACACAATATTTACAGAAGACTTGTTATTGAGAGGGAATTTTATAAACCGTACAGTGAAAAATGTCACTGGATACAAGTCATTCACTTTGACATCATTTAACCATTCAGTGAATGTAACATCAGAACGGCACTGTTAAACATGATCTATGGCTATAAAGTTTACCATTCTTTGTCATGGTTGAAAAGTTAGAGGGCATTAATCATCAGACTTTCAGGGATATTTCTGGTGTGGCTAGGTAAGACTCCATCCATTCATCCATTTTCTGTACCCTCTTGTCCTATTCTGGGTTGCGGGGGGTCTGGAGCCTATCATGGAGTCTACGAGCATAAGGCAGGGAACAACTCAGTGTTACCTATGGAATAAAGTCCGATTTACACTGGAGAGGACTCTGGAGTACTCGGAGGAAACCCCACAACAACACGGGGAGAACATGCAAACTCCACACATGGAGCCAGGGCAGAGAGGCATGAGGCAACAGTGTGAACCACTGCGCTACTGTGCCTCGCTTGGTAAGTCTCAGCAATGGGAAAACGAACATCTAAATCTGAGCCGTGTGGAACTCCCACTGACAGACAATGAAGAACGGTCTCGCTGAAACCTAGGAGGGCCAGAAGAAAAGACCCAAAGTCAGAGCATTGTCTTAAACAGGTCACGAGATCATAGCCGATGTAAAGGAGGCAACCATTGTGGAGAGAGCCACATCGGTTACTTAGACAACGGCCGGGCTAGTGGAGGATCTGAGTTGCAAGAAGCGCTGGGTACAGGACTGATTTAATGGACATATTGTGAAAAAGAAAATTATTCAATTATGTCGGCAGTACCCTCCGGAGTTTTCAAAAGGAAAAGCAGCAGTGACTGCAGAAAGTATTCCAGAATTACTCAGTGGTCAACTATTATTTTCTGGGGAGGGAGGTTATATGAGTCTTTTAAAGTGTTTGAGGAAGCATCAAGAGTTGAAAACCAAGGATATGTAGGGAAGAAGTCAGACGTCATCAGTTAGATGGCCGTTAGCTATCATATCTATTATTGGTTTAAGGGTTATTCCCAGCCTTACGCCTCTCCTTTAGAGGATAGGCTCCAGACCACCGTGAACCTGCACAGGACAAGGGGGTATGGAACATGAATGAATGAATGAATGAATGAATGAATGAATGGTATAGTAAGAAGAATCAGCACCAAATTGCTGACATTGACAGTGATGCACAACATTAGAGGTAATGTGAGAAAGTCTTAGCAATGTGCCGTCATCCATGTTTGTCACTGAAGAAATTCACTAAATCTCTTTAGATATAAATAATGCATCTATATGTATGGGGACATGCTGGCTAAAGTGATAGGACCAAGGTTTCTTAGAGTGTGGGACGATTAAAAGACACAAGTTGAGTTGCTTCCTTTTCAAGGTTGACTGCGTTCAGGGCCCTTCTGTGTGAGAGCCTCGTGCAGCGACGGGTCATCTCTGTGCAGATGGGGGAGCTGAGGAGGTCTGTGGAGAGATGGTGCCCGAAGAACTGAATGGAAAACCGATGGGGATCTAAAATTACCATTTAAATATCATTAAAGGTGTTGTTTTGTTTAATAGCAACAAATCAAGATAATAAATAAAGATAAAATGTCATCTAGGCTTGTTTTTTCATACAGGACTAGAATTTGTTTTTTCGGCTGACAGTTAGCTAGATTATGTCCTCCTCTCATGACAGGGTAAGCTGTGCATTAAGATAAAAGTCATTTCCGTTCTGGAAATGATCATTTCTGTCATGTCCCTAATATGTTTCTATTTCACTAAAAAGTCCATGTGACCATTTTGCTTACAGGGGGGCCTTCATTAGTGGTAGGACCATATTCTTAGCTGATATTTGATACTTTATTAGATTGAAATAATACTGAAGAGCTTATTGGGCAAGGAACGCAGGAGGTATGAAACATTTTCTATTTGATGATAAAAAGCACACAATAATTGAAATGTGCAAAGAAAATGTGATACAGAAAATAACCCTTTCACATAATTGCATTTGGTACAAAAATAAACAACTTTTAGCAGTAGTTTATGAGTCTACGGTAGCCCTGAAGTGTCAAACACAACCAATTAAGAAAATGCAAGAACAGTGAAAGAAATGCTTTGGCTGTGATCCCTAATGTTGAGTTCAAACTGACCTTATGATGCCTTAACATAATAGATAATGTAGCTCGATTGTGACAAATTCTGATAATCAATGTGACACTGCAAACGCATGTACGTTTGCAATTAGGCTTGTCATGATGAGACAGGTGGCCTGAATGAATGTGCTTCTACAGGATGCATCTCACCTGCTCTGCTGATGCTTTTACAGGACTCTCACTCACCTGCCCCTGAGCAGAATCCCCAGTTACACCTTTGATGGGCTAAGCAGAGTCCTTGGAATGTGAGTCCCTCCCTGTCACTATTAATTTTATACTTTTCTTTTACGGTCTTGAGGAAATTCAAGATTTAAGTAAATATATATATATATGCCAGAGTGATGTACAAATGCAGATACAACGAAACACAGTAGTTGTAGCACAAAGGGCTAGATATGTGGATTTTATGTACTAGGGTCCTCAAATAGGTCTTAGAGGGAACGTTTGCCTTAATGGACTAGTATCCCAGCCATGGTGTTCTCTGCCATTTTCCTTGTACTTCCCTAGAGCGGTTCTAGGCTCACCATGACCCTGCTCCAGATTAGCCAATAGCGGAGCCAGAAATCATTGTGTGGGTGTTCCGGCAGAAAGTCAGATGGGCCAGACCCATAACAATTCACTAGGTGACAAAATCACATTACAGACTCAACTTCATATTTTTTATCAGCTTTTAAATGACCCGTGGCATTATGAAGACCAAATGAAAAAAGAGAAAGAAAAATGTATTTGCCTCTCACCACCACATTTCCTGTGATTGCTCTAACCACGCACACACATACCCGTCAGACCCAATAGTTTTATCTTACTGCATCGCTCGCTGTGAATGCTGAATGGGTGGGCCTGAGTCACATCTGGGTGGGCCAAAGACCACCCCGGCCCACCCCAGCCATCGCGGTAGAGATAAGATATGGAAAATGGCTGGAAATGCTATATATTTAGAATGTTTTTTTGGATTTTCATAAAATATCCTTGGAAAATAGGGCTGCTATGCCCTTTAATTTCTAATTTAAACTACACCTGTGGTATCAATTTTTGCATTCCACGATCATTTTACTGTAACACTTTCTACAGATTATAATCAGTACATTCATGTTAGTGAAATTTCAACATTACACTGACAGATTCTGGAGAGGGACTGTTGGTAAAACTGGGCTGTCCAAAGCAGTGAAGCCCACACTAGTCCATCTATCCACAGGTCTTCTGCCATCTGGTACCTGAAGTCCTGGGACAACACATTGCAGGAAATGCAAGATAGATTCAAGTGCTTGGAAAGCTAGAAACAGGGACCATCCATCCATTTTCCATCCATTATGGGGACAAAGAGCACAAGGGCACAATGCAGGGAATAACCCAGGACAAAGACCCAATCCATCACAGAGCACACGCACACACATTATTGGACAATTTGGCAACTCCAGTTCACCTTAGCATGTTTTTAGACTGTGGGAGGGAAAGTATCCAGAAGAAACCCCACAATGACACAAGAAGAACATGCAAACTCAACACCATGAAGCTACGGCAGAGACTCAAACTCAGGTCCCAGAGATATGAGGCAACAGAGCTGACTACTGGACCAACGTGCCACCCCAGTAACAGGAACCAGGACCCAGGAAATTGTGTCAAAACACGATGACCACAGACCGAAAAACAGGATGCTAATTGGCTGGCACATCAGCTGCTCAGCTTTGGCTAGTGATGACCATGAACCCAGGTACAAGATGATACTAAACAGGACTAAGAAACTTGACAAGATGCCAGCCATCCAGAATCACAGCTGGTGACGATGCTGGCAGCCCTGACCGAAACCCACTGGCAAGAGCTGAACCTGGCCTCATGTGCTTTTCTCTGAAACAGTTCTGAGCCCGACACTCAAAGAACAATGACTGGAAGCAAGCAATCCACTGCACAACTACCACAGGCTTAGAGCAGGATCCCGGACCAGGGACCAGGAGAGGTGTGAGAGATCCCCCCTCCGCACATCTCTCACAATCCAAACAAAAGCCCAAGACCCAGCCAGTGACCTGAGAACAGAACCTTTCAGTTCTGAGACTAAATTAAAGCCAGCAGACCTACCAAGGGGCTACGCCAAAGAGTGGATGACCATGATACATGAAATTATACAATGTGACATAAACAACTTTTATCTGACATTCAAATTACACACCCACGTATTTATGCCTGTAGACAACACAGATGCAAACATTAAATGACCTTCATTAACAAAATAAGAGTTTTAATCATTATAAGCACTACAAATTATTATAAACAAGGCCACTATGCAACAAAATGTTTATTACACATAGAGATATGTAGGCCCCACCATGAACAGCCACCCTAACATGGTGGCGGAATTTGTATGTCCCTATGATCCTAAGGACACTGGGGCAGTTGTACCCGTAGAGTCTTCCCTGGCAAGGTTTAGGTGAGAAACCAGACTAAAGGCAATTAAAATACTCCTTATGGAGCACAACAAGAAGGAACCAGAAACCTCACTTAGAAATGGGACACTCAGGCCCCGCCCTGTTGCCAGGCCTGGGGGGGAACTCTTAGGCGAGTATCTGGTAGACGGGCCTTCACCCATGAGCCTGCATGAGCCATGTGGCATTCTCCTGGGGGCCCAGCACCTGCAGGGGGAGCCGTGAGGGTCTGGTGCATTGTGAATTGGGTAGCAGTTGAAGGCAGAGGCCTTGCTGGACAGATCCTCAGTTACCAAAACTGACTTTAGGGACATGGTATTTATCCTTTCTGATAGGAAAGGAGCCTGAGCTAGTGTGGGAGATAGAGAGATACCATGTACAGTAGATATAGTTCAGCTCACCTCAACACACACGGGCTTTGGAACCAAACTCCATTCCACTCAGGAGTTGCCCCACGTGAGAGGCGTGAGTTACTCATAGTCCCCCAATTTGCTTGTATGTTAGAGTTCACCCCGGTGAACTCAAGGGTCGTCTCCCTTTGACTCCAACTGCTGTCTGTGCTTATGCACCAAACACCAGTTTAGAGTATACAGGCTTCTTGGAGACCTTGGATGGCCCCCCTCTGGGGGACTTTAATGCTCATGTGGGTAACGACAGCAAAATCTGGAAGGTTGTGATTAGGAGGAACAGTGTGCCTCATCTGAACCCGAGTAGTGCTCTGTTGTTGGACTTCTGTGCTAACCACAGTTTGTCCATAAGGAACTCCACATTCGAGCGTAAGAGCTTTCATACGTGCACTTGGCACCTGAGCACTATAGGGCGTAGATCAATGATCGATTTTATAATAATATCATCAGATCTGTGACCGTATGTCTTAGACACTTGGGTGAAAAGAGGAGCTGAGGACTTGCCCATTACTAGAGCACTGAATTAGTCAAAAATGAGTGAAATGACATTTCAGTGGCAAGAACCCAGGGGTGGATGGGATTTTCCCTGTATTCTTCACCCTTACAAGAACACTGGGGGGTTGATAGGAGTTTACCCAACCAGTTTATTTTGTGGACTTGGAAAAAGCAAATGACCGTGTCCCTCAGGGGGTCCTGTGGGGGGTGCATCAGGAGCATGTGGTGCCGGGGCTGCTGCTACGGACCATTAGGTCCCTGTATAACTGAGGCGAGAGTTTGGCTTGCAATGATGGCAGTATGACAGAATTATTCTCGGTGGGTGCTGGACTCCGCCAGGGCTGCCCTTTGTCATCAGTTCTTTTCATAATTTTATGGAATTTCGAGACACAATAAAGAGCCGGAGCTGGTCGGGTTCAGTGACCTTAGGATTGCATATTTGCTTTTTGTTTGGTCCCATTGGCTTCATCGAGCTGTGACCTCCAGCACACACTGGAGCAGTTTGCAGGCGAGTTTGAAGGGGCCAGGATAAGGATCAGCCCCTCCAAGTCTGAGGCCATGGTCTGAACTGTAAAAGGGTAGATTGCCCCCTCCAGGTTGCGGAGGAGTTACTGCCTGAAGCGGAGTTCAAGTATCTCAGGGTCTTGTTCACGAGTGAGGGAAGAATGGGATGGGAGATTGACAGGCTGATCGGTGTGGACTCAGAATGAGCTGAGCTGAAAGGCCACGAGCTCCAGGTAGTGGCCAAAAGAATGAAATTGTGGATACAAATGGCAGAAATTAAGGTGTGTGGGCTCAGCCTTAGAGACATCTGAGAAGGACTTAAAGTAGAGTCACTGCTCCTCTGCATCGAAAGGAGCCAGCTATGGTGGTTTGGACATCTGTCTAGGATGCCATGCCTCCTGGACGTCTCCCACGGGGCATGTCCCACTAGGAGGAGACCCCAGAGCAGACCCAGGACACGCTGGAGAGGTTATATCTCTTGGGTAGCCTGGGAGGGCTTTGGTCCTCCCCTGGAGGAGCTGGAGGAGGTGCCTGGGGAGAGGGAGGTCTGGGCATCTCTACTCAGACTGCGGCCCCTGCAACCCAGACCCAGATAAGTGGTGGAAAATGGATGGATGGATGGAGATATGTATGGATTTTTCTTATTTTGCCGCTAATTAAAAATTTATGGTTTTGTTCCATTTATGATTTATTGATTTCACAATAAAGAATGTAAGATTTCATCAAGTCCTTTTTATTGTTTTATTTTTGATTGGACATTGATGAGACATTGTTGTAAGGTACAGTATATCTTTTTTTGACAGATTATACAAATTATGTAATTCTTTTAGAGCTGTAATGGTATACAAAATTCACAATTCAGTACAAACCTTGGGTTGATGGTTCTGCGCAATTTTAGCACAGCAGGAAAAACAGAATTTGTCTTGAAATTATTTATCATTAAAACTGCAAACACCAACAGTTAGGACCATTGTAAACCAAAGACAACAAGTGTATCAATGAGTTTGAAGAACAAGACCTCAGAGAAGTATCTTTGCATATTATAAAAATAAATAAAAATTTAAAAGAAGACTACATCATAACAATAACGATCTAAATCCCCATCTAAAATCCCTGTTTTCTATTATCAGTTATGGTTGCATAGCGACAAACAATAGCTGTATTTATTTTTCTTGACTGGTCTGAATATCCTACCAAAGAGCCTTAAATGCCATGGGGAGACTAACTTACAAAGGCTGATTCTGCTTTTCTCTGGTCATACACACACTCAGATGATGTCGTCTCCATTGACGTAGCATGTTAGATGTGTTTCAGGCGAAATACCAGTATAACAGAATCGACAGTTAGTTCTGATCTTATCAGCTACTCTCTCTCCAGTGCTTGGGTACTTTACTGGGAATCCAAAATGTTCCCAAACTGCTGACTATGAGTTACTGTAACCAGCATTAGTCATAATCAAATCAAAGCCATAATTAGCAGAATGTTATTCATGTTGAACATCTACTATTCTCCAAATTAGCATTGTATGAGGAATATACAAAATAATATATAATATAATCAAATTTGTGCATTAAACGATATGTAAATAAATATGTTCTATTCTATTTGAGCAATAGTGTATGATAAACAGTTCATTCATTGTGCCATTCTGTCCTAAAGAGTAAACTAGATCTGCTTCAAAGCAGGTGAGGGTTGTAATTTGTAGGTGTGAGTCTGCCCTACTTATTGTGAACTGCCTTTTTGTCCCATGTGACCCCAGTGAAATCACCCAGAGTGACTCCCTGAGGACCATAGAGCCCATGGCGTTCCACAATCTTTTTAACCTCTCAGAAATGTGAGTGTCATTCGGGCACGAATGCTGTTTGCTGAAATGGTCTGTACTCTGGGCCTTCAGAAGGTAAAACTGCATATTTGTTTCTTAACCCTGGTTATCAGGAGAAGGAGTAGTGGAAGGGCAAGGGAAGATTAACAAAGACGTCAAGTATTAGAAGAGCCAGTCCAGATTCCACATGCTTCAGAAACAGAGATAATACAGTTATACGTGGCATTAAGGTTTAACATCAGCTAATTTTATATATGAGAAAACTTAGCCTGTTGTAATCCTTCTTTCCTTTGTGTATGTTACGAACATGACAGAATATTGAAAGAGCCCCTTACATTCAGAGGTGGATAGTTCAGGTCCAGTAAAGATAGTAAGTAGAAAGTAAAAATCCAGACCAAGATTTTGTTTCAACCAACGAGTCGAGCATAAACAGTCACACTCACAGAGTACTCAGCTGCTTGGTTGAAACAAAATCTTGGTCTGGATTTTCACTTACTTTCTGGAACTGAACTATCCACCTCTGCCTATATTTAGTTCATTTGTTTTTTCTTTTCAGATTGATTCAGAACACAAAGAGCTTGAAACGCATCAGCCAAAGTGCATTCAACAACCTCCCCAAGTTACGATATCTGTGAGACTCAACATCTTACAATGCATGTTTATGTATTTGTGTCCAACGTGGCAAATCAAAAGTTTAAGTGCAAGTTCTTAAACAGATGAACTGTCTTGTTTGTTACATCTAAAGAGTCACGTTCTGGAATGTTTGCACATAGATATACAGTTTATGATACTACTTCACAATAAGGCTCCCTTTTGCCGCTTGTAAATGGTAGTAACTTATTAAGAAAAAGTTATAACGTGTTATAACACGTTTAAAAGTGTCTTTTGATCATTTACAAAGTGTTACAACCTAATTAATAATCAGATTATAAATCATTCATAAGCCCTTTATATGGGCAGCCTTATTGTAAAGTGACACCCAGTATGTTAATATATACTGACTGTATTATATGCATTTTAGAGTTTTTAATGTCAATATCAGTTAATTAAATTAATAAAAGTACTTTCTATCAGTAAAAGTGTTTTAATCATATGTTATTGTTGCTGCCATTTAGTCTTATAGACTTAACTTGATTGCTCTGGTTTTTTAAATCAGAGACTAATGCTCAGTGAGATTAAGTCTCTTATTTTGTAGTAATCGGTTTGGTTTTCAACAGAAGCATTTCCAACACTGGAATATCTCTGTTCCCCGACATGTCATCCGTCTCTTCTCTCGAATCCAGTTTCATCCTGTAAGTCGGTCTGTTTGTTTCTGTGGAGCTGTTTCCCTTCAGTGTCTCACCCTGAATTTGACAGCTGCTGTAATATTGTGCACTGCCCTGAGATATCCTCACAAAGGAAAAATAAACCCCCCACTTCTGAACTAAACTTTAAAATATTAATCCAAGGTGCCATTAACACAGAGGCTTTCAATCTTTGATGTGCTACTAGATATGATTCTATTGAGAAAAAACCTGCCAGAATTTTAACATGATCCAAAATATGTTACTTCTCCTTAGCGAAATCTGTGACAACCTCCATCTCGAGTCAATACCACCAAATGCTTTTCTTGGACTAGCAACTGAACACACCACTATGTAAGTTTGCCCATCTTATCGGGCAAGTCCTTGGTGAAGCCTTTTTAAATAAGTGTTTCATTCAAAGTTGTAACTCTTCACTTTTATTTCAGGAACCTATATAGAAATGGCTTCAAGGAGATAATGGACTATGCCTTCAATGGAACCAGGATCAATAAGCTGTATTTACATGTTTCTTTTTATAATACACACGTTAATATTTTAAAGGCACATGTGGCTAGAAGAGAATTTCCTTCAGGATTTCTGGAGGTAACGCCATTTGTTATTCCCAGGGTCCTGAGAAACAACAAGAATCTGAGAATAATTCACAAAAATGCCTTCAAAGGAGCGGTCGGCCCAGGTGTATTGTAAGTACAGTCAGCAGGTGGCGTAATGGTTAACGGGATTGATTTTAACCCGAAGTTTAAGATAGATTAGGGGTTGTGCAGTAAAATGCGCCAGTGAAAATACTGAGTTATATAAATGAGAGGAACTTTTATATTAAACCCTCGCTTGGTTTGCGGTTTCATGGGAGCTTTTAGGTTGTTGTGGGATATGCAGACAGTTTTCCGTCTCTCTTTGGTCTGCAGACGTGCAGCACGTGCGCCTGTCCTGTGATGCAACAGGACTCCCTGCCTTACCAAAGCACCAATGCCAGTTCTTTTGCGTCATTTTGCAGAGATGTGTCTATGACAGCGTTGGAGAGGCTCCCGTCGCACGGCCTGGAGTCTCTTCAGGTCCTGATGGCCCGTGCAGCCTTTGCCCTGAAGAGCCTCCCCCCACTGGGGGCTCTGCAAAGTCTACAGGAGGCACACCTCACCTACCCCAGCCACTGCTGTGCTCTGATTGGCTGGAATGTGCAAAAGTATGACAGGTTCCATAGTCAGTGCAGTGCGGCTCACAGCCAACTGGGATTTAGATTTCATTTTAATTTTCACTGAAAGAAAAGGCTACCCTATTCCAGCAGATTAATGGATGGATGGTGCTATGTTTTTCAGTGATTTTAAGCTCGTCTGTCTTGAGTTGTTTTTTTTTTTGGTAGTGAAATTTATCTTTGATAAAGTGCCTTAATTGTAATGCAAATGCATGTTGATTATGCTTCTCTCATAGGAAGTCTTCCTTCTTCGACTTATGGGAAAATGGATCAGCTTACTGTGAAGACCGTATTTCTTCAGAGTAAGCAAAGTGTTTTTTTCCCATGGATAACTGTCAAATGGCATCATAACAGGTCCAGAGATTATTTAGCAGACTCTGGAAACCTGTATATTTCGTTAAGGTGGAACAAGACAACGGGTACCATGCAGGGATGGACTGGCATAGCAGGCATTTTCCGGTGGGCCGATGCGGGGGGTATGTGGGGGACCCCCAAACCACGCCCCCTCCCTCACCCTGGTCAGCCAAATTTATATCTTGGTAACCCCATAGTCCAGGGTTGATATTTAATCCCAGTCCAGCCCTGGTACCATAGTGGCTTATTGGGGATCCCTGGAGTCTCACACCTCCAGGGTTGTAGCTTTGATTCTTGGCCTGGCTCGCTTTGTGTGTACATGTGGTTTAGGGGTCCATGATTCCATGATTTACTGGCAATGTTCTGATCCCACCCGCTGTCAATGATTGGCTGCCATAATTTGACTCCATGGGATTGATCAGTACTAATTATGAATTTACCAGTATGTGTTGCATCCCGCGTATCTTTAAATATTGTAAATCAATATGTGTATATGTGTATTTATGTTAATCATGAATGTCTAAATTGTGTGATGTTTACCATGGAATGCGTGTGATTTGTTCGTGTATAATCCCTATGTACTGCTGCTAGTATTAAACCAATAGTGGCTGTTAATAAAGAAACCAACTTTCATTTTAGAAGACCTGTTATCTCCTTTATTAAAATAATTCATCACAATATATTGTTTCGTGCTATTTACGTGGGTAGCCGCATCGAAAATATTCCTGCAGGGTTGTAGAGTTTGTAATGCAACTATGTTGTGAAAGGCACTATATAAAACAATTGATGTATCTGTGGGTTTAGGATTCCAACCACGGTGGCAGACTCCTCCATCACGCTGCCACTGAAGGCCCCCATTGTGTCTGATGTCCTGTCCTCAGAGGACGATTCTCAGGCCTTTGACGACATGGACTTCCAGTACCCCGACTTTGAATTCTGCCAGACCACGAAGACCATCCTGTGCACCCCAGAGGCAGATGCTTTCAACCCCTGTGAGGACATCGCCGGATTCAAGTTCCTACGGGTGGCCATCTGGTTCATCAACGTTCTGGCCATCATGGGCAACCTGACAGTGCTGCTGGTCCTCCTCACCAGCCGTAGCAAGCTGACCGTGCCTCGCTTCCTCATGTGCCACCTGGCCTTCGCTGACTTCTGCATCGGCGTCTACCTGCTGATGATCGCCGTGGTGGACGCTCGCACCCGTGGCAGCTACAGCCAGCACGCCATCGAGTGGCAGACAGGCCCCGGCTGTGCCGCCGCCGGCTTCCTGTCCATGTTCGGCGGCGAGCTGTCCGTGTATACGCTGATGGTGATCACACTGGAGCGCTGGCACACCATCTCCCACGCCATGCAGCTGGAGCAGCGGCTGGGCTTGGGCAGTGCGGTGCTCATCATGGCAGGTGGCTGGCTCCTTAGCCTAGCAGTGGCACTGTTGCCCCTACTGGGTGTCAGCAGCTACCAGAAGGTAAGCGTGTGTCTACCGATGGAAATCGAGGCCCCCCTATCCCAGGGCTTTGTCATCATGCTCCTCCTCCTCAACGTGGTTGCCTTCCTGGTCATCTGTGCCTGCTACATCCACATCTACCAGACAGTACGCAACCCCGAGTTCGCCAGCAGGAGGGCGGATGCCAAGATCGCCAAGCGCATGGCGGTGCTCATCTTCACGGACTTCACCTGCATGGCTCCCATCTCGTTCTTCGCCATCTCTGCCGCCTTCAAGGTGCCCCTCATCACCGTCACGTACTCCAAGATCCTACTGGTGCTCTTTTACCCCATCAACTCCTGTGCCAATCCCTTCCTGTACGCCATCTTCACCAAAGCCTTCCGCAGGGACATTTTCTTGCTCATGAGCTCGCTAGGATGCTGCGAGGGTAAGGCCAGCCTGTATCGCACCAAAGCGTACTGCTTGGACAACAGTGCCGGCAAGCAGAACAGCAGCACAGCTGCGCTGAAGCAGAACTCGCACAAGATGTGCAATGCCAACGCACCCTTTCCTGAACAATAAAAATCAGGATAACACGACATCACTTTCAAACACCTGGGTTAAAATGACTTTTGGGAAAATGACATATTGATGTATTATAGATCAAGTCTTTTCTCATGCCTCATTTGAAATTTACTTGAGAAACTTACTTTAGAATTATACCTAAATGTCCATTTCATTGTGCAGTGTTCCATTTGAAGGACCTTCGTCGTGGCATTTTACATTGTCCTGTATTGATCTACACACATTTTATATGACTATTCAGGTGTACAGATATTGTACTTCTTTGTAATATACATTGTGTCTGGTCATTCTTTACTAAAATGTTATAAAGTCATTCAGAATTTCTAATTTTGTTTGTCATGCAAAAGATATTTTTTTCTTCTGTGACATGGCAAAGCACTTTTTCAAATACAAACAGGTATAAGGCTTTATGCCATCATTAGTCTATGCTGCATGTATTCACAGGCTACAGGAGTAATTGTGTAAAAGCCTTGTATGTGGCCACTGTCTGCTGAATAGGCTATTAAGTATAAAAAAGACATGGAGTGTTATATTTGAGGATTTGTCTGAGGTCACCCATTCACTCAGGCAGGTAAGAGAAGGATGGGACCCAGACATGTGACTTGAAGTACCCACAAAAAGTCTCAAGAAGACCGAATGTACTGTCTTGGTTGCATGTAGTGGAAAACTGCAGTGGGGGTTGAAGTTTGCTTCTCTCCTGCTCATACTGAAACTGTATAAAAAACGTATAAATTACTCTAGAATATTAATATGTCCGTTTGACTGCAGTGTTCTTTTCAGTTATTTAAATATACTTGTGTAAACATTATAAAGTGTTGTGTACATGACAATTATGAATTATTGAAAAAAAATAAAGGGAATTTTTGAAATTTTATTTATAATGTGCAGTTTCAAGTTTTAATTGTGTCTGAACAGAAAGCAAGAACAGTTACAAAAATAAATCATAAAATTGTATAATGCTTCGCAATGGACTCGCACCCTGTATACGGTGCCCGTAATACTGGAGGAGTGGTTGGTTGGAAGATGCACGGATCTTCATAAAATAACAAAGAGCTCCCTCTGCTGGATGAACAAGATATTTGGCCGTTGGCTGGATTAGAATATAATAGTCGTACTTTATTCATTTCCGTTAGACAGCTGGGTAGTTTTTACATTTCTCATTATCATTCTCCATGAAAGGTACAGAAACGGAACTTGTGGCAATGTCCAGCATAGCTTGGGCTCAAGGACTTTGCTCAAGGACCTAATAGTTATACAATTACAACATCAGCCGAAGAATTCGAAATTACAACCTTCCAGGCACGTGATCACCATGATTATTATTATTAATATACTTTTGGAAGCAAACGTAGAATAACATTTTCTTTGTAATCCACACAGCCCACAGCCAGTTAAGGGGGCTTCAAGCGGCCTCCCTGTAGACTGCCAAAGCTTAACAGAGGTCAGCCCAAAGTGGTGCTGACCAGAGAGGCCAAACATACGATGTTTCCAGTGGAAGGAAACCCAATTTACAGTGATCAGTATGTAGAGAAAAGGCTTCTTGTCACTGCTGAGAAGCTATACGCCAAGAATCTGTGGTGTCCTTACATACCAGGGTAGCAAAACCTTTCCCTCAGTCCAGACCATGGAAATAGGCCTATTCCGGCATTCACCATGCTGATGACAATGCTAATGTTAAATTAATTACACGTAATTACTGTACAGGAATACTTTCAGTACATATCAGCAATAGCCCTTCTGCCATTAGCAATTATGCCTTAGTGGTCAAGAAAGTACTGGACAATGCACTGTGTCCAGGCTTTGCTCAGCGCAAAATTTTGCAAGAGAACTGTGAGAAAACAATGCATTCTTTGTAAAGCGCAGGGTTCACAGTCAGCGATGGTCAGAAGGTGGAGCCCCTCAATCCAGACCCAGGGACTGCGAAGCACAGCAAACTGCTGCAAGCGACGCTGCTAAAGGACATGAGGAAATAAAACTGATGGGGTTTCCGACTCGTTCTTTGTCCTTCGTAATTATCCGCTTAAGCCAGTCACCACTGACTTTGGTCACGGTGGCAGAGAAACTGAGCTCCGCCCACAACCGCCATCCGTCCCGGGGCTTTAAGCAGAATGCGGGAGTCGGTGTGAATGGACGTTCCTGGTTTGCATTCTACAAGGCAAAATGCAAATCTAGGGGCACTATCAGTTTCAGAAAGATATAAATGAGAGAATCAGGCATTGCTGAGACACAGCATTTTGCAGAGCAAAAACTCTCTGATACTTAAACAGGAAACACTCTGATACTCACACATCACACAGTCTTTTATCGTGTGATTTAGTCCATGACCAGGTTGGCTAGTTCAGCTTTATCACCTGAACTACTTGTAATATACTGAGCAACAGGCAAAACAGTTATGTGCAATGACATGTACATGTGACTACTGTCAATTAGAGGCCAATAATTACTCCTAATTCCTGTAAGCCTGGGCAGAATTTGTAATATTGCAGTTTATCTATGTATAGCAAGTTCTTAATTGCTAAACAACTGCGACAAATGAATGTAGATCAGGAGTCACCAACCTTTTTGAAACTCAGAGCTACTTCACTGGTACTGAGCGATACGAAGGCCGGTTACCAGTTTGACACACTCTTCTTAAATCATGTATAATAAACATGTTTTGAATACTTTTTTTCAGATATTGTCATTTTCAAATCTGTATTAATGCAAATGTTATTAAAGAAGAATAGCAACCGGATAAAATTAAATTTTAGACGCTTCTCAATGGTGAGTTGTGCTATTTTTAGAACAGGTCCGCGGGGCGACTCACGTGGTCCTTGGGGGCATCCTGGTGCCCGCGGGCACCATGTTGGTGACCCCTGATGTAGACATTCATTAAAGGTAGCGTGTAAGTTACGTGTAATATAGGAGGCAATTATGTTTTTAAAAAAAAAACTACACACAGGTGTTCCACCATTGACCACAAGGGGAACACCTCCACACACTATAGGCAAACTCACTTTAGTCTGGTTAGTCTAGCACATGGAGACCTTCGAATATTTTAAGGGACATTTTACCAGGCACGTTCAAACGCTGTTTTCTATCATTTGCAATGGTCGTGCCTGGGAAAAAGTCCCCACATCTCAAAAGGTCCCGACCCTGATAGAAAAACACACTCATCCACTCACTTATTCACACTCTCAGTCAGTAAGACCCTCCTACCAAAATGGCACTCTCAACGTGACGTCATTTTCGAAAGTTTATTTTTGTGAGAGGGGTTCAAATTCATTCATGAGGGGCTTTATAGTACAGAAAGAAAACAACTGATGCAACGGATCAAATAAAAGTACCAGTGTTTTCTATTGTATCAGACACAACTTTTGCGTTTTTTGTGAGAACAATAGTTCACATTCCTACGTTTTAAAGCCTCAAAAGGCATTTCGCGTGGTGCAGAAGAATTTGTTCTTTAAGGTGTAATTTCATCGAATCACAAGTGATAATATGCGTCGTTATATTTTCGGACGGATTATTTTCCATTTGACTTTTGGTTTACACATTTATGGATATGGGAGTTTTGGTAAGTTTGCCAATTTTGTGTATTTTATGTTTCAGCTCAAACTGGGTGGCCGTCGTAATAATGAATATGTTATGTAATTAGTATCAAGCGTGTATTAAAGACGTCTATTGGAAGTTATTTCGAAGTTTAATTTTTGGGAGGCTTAAGTTTTTATTTATTTGGAGTATTGCACGTTAGGGCAGTGTTGCTGTGATTTATACATATGTTATCAATAATATTTTACTCGAAATTTCCATTATAAGTGCTTTTAAACTTAATTTGTCAAACGTCATATTCTCTCCTTACCTCGAATTTTATGTTAAACCATACCAAAACTCGTAATTAAATATACATTATAATGAATTTGTAACCAAGTGGTATTTATTACCGTTGTTTCCAAATCTTTCTAAGCTTTAGTTCATTTTACTTACATTTCATGAAGGACTCCTGTTCTTTTTCACTTAGCTATAATGTTTATGCAAAGTACATGAATATACATAGTATATGCCTACACAATAAAAACTAAGGCAGGGAGAAGCATTGATACATTCCGTTGAAGTATACTTTTGTGTGACTTATGTGACAATGGAATTTTATTATACTAAATTAACTGAAATTGACTGACGTTACTCTGTTTCGTAGTTCAGATGTAGCTGGCATGAGTAGCAGGCACTATGCATTGGGGTCGTGCGGATTAAATTAGAATATCGATTATTCGATATTGAATGTTTTCATTTTGAGAATCGATTTTAGCGTTGAAATATCGATGATTAATGTTTTTTGTTTTTTTTTACTTAAATGTAGAAAATCAGTGGAATCGCTATCCCTGGGCCCTGTTGTTTTTTCTAAGAGCAGGACAAACTGATGTGAATGCAGGCATATAGAATACATGATGACATGCTGTAGTATTTATATATCGTATAAAGTTATTATATAGGATTTATACTATATAGTATTTATATTCTGTTTATTACTATTCATTTGCACTATGACCAACGAGTGTATGACTGCAGGCATCATATATCTGAAGCTCACAAAAGATATTTTGACAGACACCTTTACCATGGAAACAAGTAACCTGCTTATAAAATCACATCGGATGTCTTAATAGAACAATATCTGGGATGAATGAAAATAAGTTGAACAAATGTATGCGCTAATTTAATATCGATGGTCTTTCCTTGCGCAAAGATAATTGCAATCATCAAAATAAATATGTTAGATTATCAGCACCTGAAAAGCTGTTGAGATGTGAAACGCTCACTCTGACTGGCCCTTCCAGGACAATATGATTCCTCTGGTAACAAATTTCTGTGATGCAAATGGTACGAACTTCGCCTTTAGGCTGGCAAAGCCAGAATTTATTTTTCTGTGGCTTAGAATCCTTTAACTTTTCCGAAATATGTGTATGACCTTATTTCATTTGGAACCCCTCCCCTCCTATTACATATCGTTGGAAACACTGTCAGAGGCAAAGAGCTCCACTTATCAACACAAATGCATTTCCACATAGGCAGCTAAGGCCTGGCATTACATAAAATCTCTTTATTCCTGTGCTTTCCAGTGTTTATTTTAAAGCCAAAGATTTTTGCTGAAGTGCTGTTACCAAAGTTATTGTTATTTAGAGCAGCATAAGCACAGACATCGTCATTGGGGCTTAGCTGGAAGGCAGAAAGCAAACCTATGTTTATTTTTTAGGCCCACTGAACCTCCTCACACCGCAGTTACAGTACCAGCTATAGCCTAAAGTCAGTTTCAGTACGATGAAATTTGCACACTCTACTTAGGAGATCAGCCCTTCTCTGACACTCTTGATTACATTTAGTGCCCTTCCCACATAACAAAAAGTTCACATTTTATGTGAACCCAGCGCTTGTTCTGTGTGTGAGCTTGTTTCGTGTGGATAATTGTCTCTGCATGCCCTTACAAATTGATTGCATATTCATAGAACTTCAAAGAAAAGTGTACAGTGTTGATTCCTTAAATCATTGTGACCAGAGTTTTGTTCGCTTTTATATATTGTTCCTCATTTGTTTCTTAAACTTTGTATCCTTTTACAACATGGCACCCTATAAAGCACCAGATACATACTGGTTGTTACCAGGGTTCGAATCACACAGTGGCTATTGGGGGGCTGCCTATATTCCGGTGTGCAACACGACTTCCCAAGTCACATGCACGCGCATACATGCAAGGTCAATAACAGCGAGGTCAATAACAGGGATACTGTGAAAAATATTCTACTATTACTATACTGCAGATAATTAATACCATCAGTAACACTTCATACAGGCACAATAACAGCAACGTAAGCATCATG